TCTTCTTCAGAGCAGGCATGCTTTTGAGCACTGATCTACAAACAGAAACATATCTTAGAGGTTTAACTTGGTTGATACAAGCCAGATTAAGCCACACTGGAATCTTTTGCTCTAACCAACTTTCTTGGCTAGTGCTTTGGATTCTTTCTGCAAGACCTTAGGAATGAGAGTCATTCATGCTGAGAAATGGCACAGTAGGGCAGGCCTTAAGGGAAGATTTTGAAACACAGATCGCCATGTGGTGCTCTCTATCAAGGTCACCAGCAGACATCTTTCATGATACCTTCAGGATTTAGGCACAGTAAGGAAACAAAGGAGTTAATATCTTGAAAGAATTCACATCTTATCTGCAGTCTACTCACAAATCATCTCAAACCTTCCAAAAACAGTATACAGCTTAGTATTTTCAAAAACAGGATAGGAAAGGTTATCAGCAAAGACCTTGTCTATGAAAGTATTCCTGTAATGGCTGCAGCTAATCTTATGCTTTCTCTTTCACTATACATCATTATTCATACACTGCCCCCATTTCATAAGCGTTGCATTAATCATATTGCCTTTAATGGTCTCTACTGGTTTATTTTAGTCAGTGTACATCCTGCATTAAGTGATCTGCTCAGAAGATGTTCAATACAAGCGGCATACCAGTCACTAACAGCATAAGTTACTATATCATCAATAAATTAGAAATCTTTCGACATGAAGATTATTTAGTAACATTTTCAAAAATATACTGACAACATAGTTAGTTTGTTGTTAATACATTCAAAGAAAATTAGATTTCCCATTGCATTTATACGTGCATTAGCTACAGAAGAGCTTCTCGACAAAGTGCTTTTCCAGGCACTATTGTGTCTCCATGCAGTGGTGTCACTACTAGGTGAGGGCACGTGGAGCAGTGTCGCAGACACCCTAAAGTCTTATTTGGGCCCCTCATATAGATATTGACACAATTCTACACTATTTATTTCAGTTTTATCTATGCTAACCGTTTTCAAACTGATTCTTATAAAAATCTTAAATCTCTAAAATCTTAAATCTCTATTTTTTGCACTAGGGACCATAAGATCCCAGTTACACCAGTGTTTCCATGGCACAGCTCCAAGCATTGAGAGCATGAGGGTTGGTTATAGGGTTTCCACTTGCCTAGGATTTTCCTGGATCATCTTGGATTTTGGTCGTCTGTCTGGGAAAAAAAGAATTCCATTCGTGGACACAAAAGGAATCCAAATATTTTCTTATGTTTAAAATGTTTAAAATGCTTAATGTTATCATATTAACTCATTTTGTTACAAAAGGTAGGTTTGATTGGTTCAAATTACCCTAAAAATAGGGAGTCATTACAGAAAGATGCACCACTGGTGACATGCTTAGGCACTAGGCAGCACTGCAACTTGATAACTGATAATACTAGGTTGTGTACCTGAACTGACATCTATCCACTGCATCATGAGCATCCACTGAATTTAACAAAAATCAAGCCAATACCATGCATTATTATTATTATTATTATTGTTATTATTATTATTATTAATATTATCATCATCAAACTGCAGGTCATAGTCATAGCCTGAGCCCGCTAACCTCCCAAAAGAAGAACTCTCACAGGTGTGCACCAGCAGTAAATAGCAGAGAAAGATTTTTAAATCAATCTATTACCACTTTGTCCTGTATTTTGTTCTATACTTTACTTTGAAAAGTAATAATTTCATGCATTGAGGTTTTGAGATGACACTCACTGTCAGTAACTATAAACTCACTAATCAAAACATTTTTCAAGTTCACATAATACACTGGAGACACTAGAGACAGCTTAAAAACTTCCCTCAGAGCAAAAGCAATTACTGCATTTGTATCACCTAAAAGGAAACTAAGGGGCCTAATAGGGCCTTGACAGCAGTTCATTATCATGAGATCAGCTCATTGCTCCGAGTTCAATGTGACTCTTAAAGCCAGCCATAGGGGCCCACCACTTTAGGACGTCTAATTACTAAACAGATCACATATTTAATGCGTGCATCGCTGGAGGCCAAATGGTCTGCCAAGACTAATGTGGTTTCGGGAATTAAGTTATCAGTGGGAAATCCGGAAATGTTCAGAGCATAAACACCAGTAATCTATTTTTGTCTGGTCAAAGATCAAATTTGTTATTCCCAACACAACATTCTAAAACTGTGCTTGTAAACCCGAGACAGTTATGAATCTGAGCATTAATGGCATCATACAGTCCCCGCTAAATTTAAAACATTTAAAATAATCCTCTACCTACAACACATTATAGACATGTTAGTCATGTTTTTATTTTATATATGATTGAAAAACATCCTCTAACTGCAGAAGCAGCTGTATGTTTAAGAGGAATTCCCCCAAGAATGTCAAAGAGTCTTCAGAATTTAGTTATAAAGATTAACAAAGTCATTCAGAGTGGTGTAAATTCTAGAGAAACCGAGTTAGAATTGTTCTGACAACAGTGGTAGTTATAGGAACCAGACGTCTGAAGATTTGTGCTGTAACAATCACCACTACTGTAAAAATCTAAATACTCTGAATATCTATGTTGTAAATAGATAGCTGCATTTAAGGTGCTGATATAAACTCCAAACTCTGTCTTGACTCAACAAAGGTTAAGCTATGAATAAGTATATATATGTCCCCTTTCCAGTGGCGAACCATGACTGTGAGAGCTAGGCCTTCAATTTGGGTCATAATTACCAACAAACTTGGTTGAAATATAAGGAAAAAACTCACCTTTACAATAAGGCTACCTTCTGTTAATGTTCCAATAGGATTATAGTGGTTTATTAGGACTAAGCTAACAGTGATTTGCATGAACACTTTCTGACAAGGTTGAAGTTTAAACTATGCAGCCGCGAAAAAAGGCGGTTCTAGATTAAACACAGACATTGGAAGCTTCTAAAAGACATTCCATGCTTTACTTGAAGCTTGTGACAGACATATTAGTTTACCTTGTAGCAGCTTCACAGTGTCTCATTCAGTTAGAGAGACCTGGTATGGAGCTGCTGCTGTTTTCCATTTCTAACAACCCACTGATTAGGCTGCTGCTGGTATTCAGTGAGTGCATCTAACACTTACAGTGGCATTTTTTCTCATGTAACTATTAATAACCATTGTAAACCGAAATGTGATGGGTTGATTCCTCTTTCACTTCAAGAATTTAACCCTTTTGTTTCCATCCTAAACTTCACAATGAAACAAGAGCAGTACTGTAATACTTGCAGAGTTTAAATACAAGCATGATTCTACTGAATAAAAATGAACTAAAAATGACACACATGCATTATTTAGTTTTTTTCCCCTTTTCCAGAGAAAGTAGATGTAGTAGATGTACCTTAAAAACTCATTTAAAATACACAATTGGACCTTAAGGACCATGTTATACTTTTGATTGTATATTTAAATTTGTACCTTGTTTGTTTGTACCTTGGGGGGGCTAAAATTTACTTAGACTGTGCTGTTCTTCTGACAGTGTTCTATCTAGATAATTTACCTCAGTTTAGCTCCTTTTCTCTGGCTGAAAGGGAAAAAATCTTGTCTCTGGTGTCCATTTATTTCCTGAATAAAGATATAATCACTATTTTCTTTAAGATTTTATTAAACAACGAGATAAGATTTATGCTAATTCTTGCTTAGTTGTATTAACGGTTAGGGGAAACAAGTATTCAGACACTTTTGGTTTCATTATTTAATATACTTACATATTTGTTATTTAAAATATTTTTGTATTTTAATATACTTACACATTTGTTCTATTTATAAGTACAAAGTCAAAAGACCTTATGTGTTGAAAAAAAAATTACTGCATGTCCACTTCAATGTTTTTCACACATAAGGTCTTTTGACTTTGTACTTATAAATAGAACAAGTGTGTACATAGTATTTGAAAGCATAACCTAAGCTATGTTTAAATAACAAAATGAATAGGGAAAAAAGTAAACCACTCTGTTTAAGCAGGTCAAATGTAAGTTTTCGTTTTTACTGCAGCAAAGTGTAGCCTGCCTTCATTTTTATTTCATTTGGTCTCTGACATTTAGCTTTTGTTTTCCACAACGTCAACACATGTATAAAAAAGCAAATTTGAAAACCCACATTTGAAAATGTTATAACAGGGTGGTTTGAGGGTTGAAGGCACTGGGTGAACTTTGGTAGCTCCACTGTTTTGTGGCCTCTTTTCTCACTTCTCTTTATTAGTGGTTAAAAAAATGCTAATGCTTCAGCATAAAGTATCAAAAATGTGCTAAGAATAGAATTAATGAACATTAAAAAAGATGGGTGTGGGGGTACAGCTATATACATTCTCAGTGATTTACAAATGTCCACAGTTTTTGCAGCTTTTCTGTTTTGCTGCAAGAGCACAGTTTTAACATAGTCTTTTTCTTGTACAAGAACAGGCATTGCTAGACTTACATGTATGTGCTTTTGCTGAAATAATAATTTTGCTGAGGTTTTTACTTTATCTGCTGAGGGCTTTACTTTATCCTTATAAACAACATTAAAACCAAACAAAACATTTTCCAAGTACAGAATAAGTATGTAATGATCAACTACAAAACTACAAAAAAGTCTTTTCAAAACAATTTTACATAATCAGTATCAGCCTCTGACCACCACCAACCCCATTTATTATTTATTGATTTATTTATTTGAAGTAACAATTGTATAATGGAGAAGAATACATATAAACAAAAAAGTAATATATATATATATATATATATATATATATATATATATATATATATATATATATATATATATATATATATATAAACTGCTTTTCTTACATTGACTTGACAAACAATGTACCTCAGGGGTAAAGTATGGATATTATATGGGATATTACATTTGGTGTGTAATTTAAAAAAACAACTATAAACACTCAGTGTAAACATTTTTGTATTTATTTTTCATCGCTACCTGACGTTGATGAATAAACATGACTGACGTAATTTGTTTTTATATGGCGCATGCGCATTGGGCTCCTGTCACGCTCCACGCTAAGCTGGCTGCAGTCGTGCTGCTACTCACACCTTCTTATTACAAACGCCATGGTCTTGCGATAGTGTGGCAGAAGACTCTGTTAGTGTCCGGCTGGTGGTGTCAGTCAACAGTACGGTGGTCGCCGGACGTCATTTTCCCTCGGAACCTTATCGCGAAGGTGCTGCGGACGGACTATTTTTTTTCTTTCGTCCGCGCAGTCACCCCGGTTAGGTCGTGAGGTGGCCAAGATGGCGGCAGCGCGCAAGGTCCAGAGTTTTTAAAGGGTAACTATCGCAAATAAAGTGTTTTTTAAGCCAGTTCGGAATTTTTAATCGAGCTGGTTAGACCTCGTGTGTGTTACGATGTTGTAAACGTAGCCATTAGGGACGTGTCATTGCCGATAGCTTGAGCTAAACCGATGGCTTTGTGGTGGCTCGCTAGCTGAGGTTAGCTGTGATTGAGAGCTTGCTGGCTGTCAGTCGGTCGCTGTGCACAGTGTTGTACACTTTGCGAGTGAAGGGCCGTTAAAACTGTTTAACGTTTCTTTTATTAACGTCCCTGTTTCTTTCGTTGTACTAAAGTGCAGCAATGCTTGATCACGTGGTGCTCTGTACACAGAGAGAACAAGGCTGAAGCTGGTTTCTTATTCGAATTTTCCGTTCCACCTTAATTGCGCAGCAGTTACGCTTTGACACAAACGCGACAGAATGTAACTGCTGCACAGTTTAAGGTGGAACGGGAAATTCGAATAAGAAGGCAATTTCGGCCTCGTAGAGACAGGTACACAGCGTGTAACGTGTTTATGTAACTCATAAAAAAGCAGTAAACACGTTGCCAGTGAGCAGCTACGTACAGTCTGCGCGCCATGGTTTGTTTAGAGCAGGTTCAGTGTTTCACATACAGATTTTGCCAGCTTTGCTAGCCAGTTTAGCACAGACACACTGGCGCATGCACCAGGCAGGCATTCGTTTGCATAAGCTGAACTGTCAGATTACTAAGAGCATTAATCTGGCTCACCTCTCATAGAAACGTTGATGTTTTTTTTTTGTTTGTTTGTTTTTTTGCCCAGGCACTCCATGTTGACACAGCAGAGCCTTAGAATATACTGTGACAAAGCCTGTATTCCTGCCCCCTGACCAGCACTGCCATGGCCAAGGACCAGCCAAACGTGTTCGACCTCCTCCCCTTTTTGGAGTCCACAGATTTACACGAACTGGAGCAGGTCAGAAGTCTGTTACAGGAGAGCCTCAGCACAGGTTTGTAACATTCACATAACTTTGTTAATGCACTCTTTGAAGGTACCACATGGACAAAAATGCACGTTAAGTCCCTAAGGTTGTAGACACCTGCTCATCCATCGTTACTTCTGAAATCAAGGGTATTAATTGGGAATTTGTGGTCACTTCACTGTAGTAGCAGCCTCTACTCTTCTGGGTAGGCCTTACGCTATATATTGAAACAGCACTTTGAGGATTTTGTTGCATTCAGGCACAAAAGCATTAAAGAGGTTTGGTACTGATGTTGAATGATTAGCTCTGGATCTCAAATGCTGCTCCAGCTCATCCCAAAGGTATTGGATGGTGCTCCATGACTTCAGAGAACAGCCCAGTGACGAGAAACTTTACACCTCACTTGGCATTGGGCAAGGCTCATCTGTGGGTGCGCTAGAATGTCATATTCTGTTGGTGGTGCTTTTTAATGGAGATTATGCAAGCTGTGTGTGTGCAGTTGATTTCCTCTGTCAGCAATTGGTGTGGGTGAATTTGCTAATTAGAAGTGGTGTCTATACTTTAGGGCATATATTGTGTATACAGTAAGGGCTTGCAGGTATTTTTTACATATTGAGCTTAATAAGTTCTTCTATGTATTTCCTGTCAATGTGTGTTCTAGATAAAGGATCTGTGCTTGTCAATGACCTTGTGGATTATTATTTGGACACCAACTCTCCTCAGGCTGCAGACATCCTGTCTTCTGTCAGGGAGCCTCACGACAAGGTGAGGAAAGCATTTGTACTCTCTCATGGGCTGACAGTTTTGGAGGAGTTAGAATGCACTGTATCAGAAGTGTGAAATAGTGTTCCGTGCCTTCAAGCTATTTTTCGATATAGAAACCGAATTTGATATATCAAGCTAAGAATTTCTGGTTTGTTCCATTGACTTTGATGTCATAACCTCCCATTAATCATTATGGCTTTTCCTTCTCCCTAAAGCACCTTTTAGACAAGATGAACGAGTGTATGGCCAAGCAGAGCTTCAGACTACCAACCCTCACCCTCCTTGGCCATGTAATTCGTAAGCAGCCGTCGTGGATCCACAAGATCCCTCGCTTCCCGCTGCTCGCTTCACTGCTCAAATGCCTCAAGGTACTGGGGGGAAAGGCCAGCCAGGCGGAACTAACACTGAACTGGGAGTTTTTGAAAATGGATAATGTCCTAGATATGGAGGGTTATTTTAACGCTGGTGAGGGAAACATGACTTACACAAGTGCAGAAATGAATCCTGCATTAGTGTGTCTCAGTGTTATTATGCATTCTGGTAAACTTATTGCTAAATGATGAATAAAAGTGTTGCCAGAGTAGGATTTAAAAACATATCAACATTTAATTCAGTGTCATTTGTTTTTTCTCCTTGGTGCATGTTGCTGCTATGCCAGACTGAATCAGATATTGCAGTTCTCATAACTGGAGTGCTGGTGTTGATCATCCTGCTACCCATGATACCACAGACCAGCAAACAACTCCTGTTTGAGTTTTTCGACATCTTTGGAAGACTGGCAGCTTGGAATCAGAGAAACCCTGGTAATTTATGATAATCATGCCAAAATCTTAAGAAGAATACTTCAACTTTTGTCATTTTATAAAAAAGTGCCTTTATTTGTAGTTGCAGTAAAATATGTGGTCCTGTAGATATCTAAGATTGACTCTTTTAGGAACACTGAGTTGATACACCATATCTTCAACTTTCAGATTACTTTACAACTGTATGTGATCTCAACATGCTTTAGTCAGAACACAAAATAGCATTTAGTATATCAAATTTAAGTCACTATATTTTTTTGGCACAATTCCTGTCCTTTATAATTTACATTTGTATTCAAATAACTGGTATAACTGAAAGGTCGAGTTTATTCTGAATCAAAATATGGCAATAAAAAGTATTTAGATAATTGTGCCATACTTAAAAATGTATTAATATCATTGTTGTTGGAAACAAAATGTCAATCTAAGTGGATTTATTTCATTTTTTTTATTTTAAGACCATTCCAAGAGTGGTATTTTCTTTTTGGGAAAGAATTCTTTCAAAGTGTGACTGGTGTGTTGTGAAATTATTGTCCTTTGAGTAGTTTCTTTGCAGGTTGGCATACAAAATTCCTTTGTATGCTTGAGTTAAGACATCAATAGTAAGTTTAATTCATATAGTGCCTTTTTTAAATGTAAGGCTGCTTCACAGTTACAACAAATTAACAACACATAAAGCACAGTTCTCCCACTGGCAGGGAAAGAAACTACCCGACCATGATGTAAATTCTGTCAGCCGGTGGGAGGGATGAAATATTAATTGGCTTTAGGTCGAATTGGCAATTTAAAAATGCAATTTTCAAATTGCAGCAGCTGCAATTTTAATTACAATTTAAATGATCAACAATATTGTCTTAAGTGGGAAAATTTACTTAATGTCAGAGCTTGTAAAATGCGTGTAAATGGGTTAGACCAGTCAGGAGCAAATAACTAACCACAACATCACAACCTCAACTAATTGGCAATCTGGCACGGTACGTAAGCCTATAAAAATAAACTTGGCCTTCATAAGCCTATAAAAATAACTTGGACTGGACCTCAGTTGACAGAATATAATTGCAAATCCTGGTCATTATATCAAGCAGAAAATGAGCAATTACATAGTTTCCCTAAACCATTTGGTCCTAGTCAGCAGCCTAGACGAACACACAATGTAAAGTCTCTCGAGACTCAAGACTCTTCATACCGGTCAGTTTTTATGTGAACTCTAGAATTATATCTTTAAATATGTGTCTTCCAGGCCATGCTCATGGAGTGTATGCAGTTCACCTTCACGCCAGCGTGTACTCACTTTTCCACCGCCTTTATGGCATGTACCCCTGCAACTTTGTGTCCTACCTGAGGGCCCACTATAGTATGAAGGAAAATGTGGACACCTTTGAAGAGGTGGTCAAGGTAAGGCTTCTGCTTTTTAGCTCCTTTATGTTTTCTTGTAGGTTTACTTCAATTACTGCTAAACATCCTACAAAGCTAAATGTCCATGCAGGTCACTGTCCACCCACATATCTAGCACCTAAGCTTTTAATTGTTGACGAGGGGAAAAATATTGATAGCTTGATGGTTCTTTTTCCAATCAGCCAATGCTGGAACATGTACGGATACATCCGGAGCTTGTCACTGGAACCAAAGACTATGAACTGGACCCAAATAGGTAGGTTTTATTCTTCCTCATGTCTGTGTCATGTCTGTGTATTAATGTGTTGGTATTCTGTTATGTTTTCCTTCATGCAATCCATCTCTGCTTCAGGTGGAAGAGGTTCGAAACTCACGACATTGTGATTGAATGTGCCAAAGTTTCCCTGGACCCGAAGGAGGCGTCTTGTGAGGAGGGCTACTCGTCCCTGCCTGACCACGTGCCACGGCGCCCTGTTGATTACAGCAGGTCCTTGTCAGACCTCAGCAACCATGGTTAGAATGACCTAGTACTATACTTTTTTCTTTTAAAAAAGTTATTTTCCTCTAGACTGTTCTTAGAAGTGATTCAATCACTATAATTCTGTTGATTCATAAAATTCATAGATTGGTCATGGATGTCTGTGGTTCACTTTCTGAATGTGTTCTTTGTTTGTGTTTGTCTTTACAGGAAATTCTTTCACCTCGATGGCCACAGTCCGCCAGTCCCTCTCTCTTTCCTTACCCCATCTCACAGTTACCCAGCATGCATGCCTCAGCCCACAGACCCCCAGCGGGCAGGTAAACCATTCTACCAATAAATGCTTGCACTCGAACACATTGGCCCCATATTTGTCAGGCTCCTCATAGTAGAAGTGCCGATCTAAGATGTGCTTTTGTAAATAAGATCATCCAAAATAAGAATTCAGTCTGGTTCTAGATCAGCACTCTAAGAAGCTTGGTGAAAAAGTGGCATTATGAATGAAGAATGTAAAAAGTGTTTGTGTGTAATAATCATACACTCATCTCCTGGATTGATTTGTCTATTTTGATGTTCTTACAATATTTTGAACAAAATTTATAGAAAAATGACTGTATCCACCTTGTGGGTCAACCTACTAATGACACTAGAGTTGAGTGTAATATGACACTAACTGTATTGGTGTGTGTTAAAGGTGAATTCCACTGAGTTCTCAAAATTTCTGCTTACTCCAAACTTTAAGATGTAAACAGTCATGATGCGGAACGTACACGCAGAGCACTGTAAGACAAAACAGGGCCTTCAGATTTACCACTATTTTACTGTTATCAACATTATATGTAGAAATTTTGAAGACACATTGCTTCACTGGATGGTTGGATAATAAATGGTTATATCTGCTTTTTTACCTTGCAACCTCTGGTTCCTATCACCACCACTGTTTTTTTTTTTTGTTGTTGTTGTTTTTTTGTTTTTTTTTAAAGATGCTAATTTCCTCTACAATTAACTGTTTCAGATTGAACTACTATCACTGACTTTGTTTACATCTCAAAGATTGAATTATTTAGAAATTTTTAAAAATTGGTGGAATTCCCCCTGTAAGTTGAACATGCTTGTGTAGGTTAATTTGATTGCAGCCTTTGGTGTTTAAACAGCACAATTGCAGCAGATGGCAAAATTACTAAAATATAGTTGAGATCACGACCAAGTGTGTTGTGATGTTTTGACATTATGATATATTGTATATAGTGTATAACAGTATATTGTATAACAGTATCTGATTGTTTTGTGTGATATGATGACAGGGTCTTGAGGCGACGTCCTCAGGGATGAAGGAGGTCTTGTGGAGCCCTTCCTCTGCGTGTGGGATGAGTACCCCTCCCAGTTCTAGGGGAATGTCCCCCACCACTGTCTCTGATCTCTCACACAGTGCCTCGCACCTCTCGGGACGGGTCCCTAGCACACCAGGTCAGAGCAGAAGTGGTATTTTGTGGTTGGTTGCACTTCTTCAGGATAAAAAGTAAAAGATTAGCCAGTGCAAGGCTTATATGTTCTTAGCTGTCAGTGCTTATTTGACCTGAGGCTATGTTTGCGAGAGCTTAATACTGAGTAATGTATCTTCCACAGTGGATGGAAAATGGACTCCATCTGCCTCCACGCCCTCAGGGTCCTCTCCTCTCCCTTCACTCTCTGAAGAGCTTGAGCACACTGTCCAAATCACCAGCACTACTCTTCCTCCTGCAAAGGTAAAAGATCACATGGAATAATTAATGCTGTGTTGGTCCACATTTAAGACCGTTTGGAGATGTCTGACAATCTGCATGTCTGTGTTTTTCCTTTTTTGCTTTTCGTTGTCCTATTACGGAACTTGCCCAGGCAAACCAGGAGCTAATCAAAGAGCTGAAAAAAGGCACGCCCACAAATATCAACAGCAAAGGTATGCAGCAGCTTCAGTTTTAGCTAGCTGTATTTTTGTTTTTATTGTGTTTTGGCTTTATGGTTTTGGTATAGCAAACCTACTGACGTTACGCTAAGGCTGGCATTTCACTTGACAGTTACACAAGCAAGGAAAGTTTCATACAGCACTAGTTTGCCATATTACCATCTCATTATTTTTTTTTCAAACCTTTGTTTTTGCTATATAAAGACATTTACATTTTGTGTTTTCATATTTGCAGCATTTTTACCATCTTTGTATAATTTTTACATCTATTATTGCCATTACATTTCTATATCTATATGCCTGTGTTTTACTTGTCTATCTGGTTCTATACTGGTTATTTACATTTTTTTGTCTCTTCTGTGTATGTTAAAACTTTTAAAATTATTGTTTGTAGCCATTACGGTTGTATTATATGCTCTTCAGGGACTACATCTTAGTTTCCTCTTCTGTAGTAATTTTCATCCATGAATTCCCAAAGGATGCATGAAAATAGGGGGTGTCAGCAGAAAATAAAGAATAGTCCAGCTAGGTCGATGACGATAACAGGCTAAGAGTAGGCAGTGGCACAAGCAACTGTTTACCGTTGAAAAACTCTGTGTTATTTGTCATTTCTCAGGAAAATCACAAAATGGAAAAATGAATGGCCTTACATAAAATCTATTAGGAGGCTCTCTTTTCAGCCATTTAATGAACCATCTTCAGTTTTTTGTGCAGTAACAGTGTTTTGATTGTTTTACAAAGTTACAGCTGTTATACCTTACAGCTGTTACTGAGTTTCAAGTCAGGATGCCTTACATTGTACATGTCAAGTGTAATTTAGTTTCATGTAAGTTTCAAGCAACTGAGGTTACTGTATGTTTCACTATGTAAAGCCAGCCTAAAAAAATTGTTGCCTCCGTACTGTTTCTCAGGGGATGCAGGAGATGGTTTGAGTCCCATTACGTTGATGGAGCTTTCTGACTTTGTGAAGAGAACAGAGAGAGACAGAGAGGAAGGTAAGGGTGGAAACCAACAGGCTAACAATACACATTACTTAAAGTTGACATTTACACAGGCAACAAATAATAACGATACAGTTAAGTGCTGAATAAATAAATAAATAAATGAATGAAAAGTGCCACAATCTGGCTTCATAGTTTTTCATTTGTAAGTGTGCTAAATGTGTTAGTAGTAGGAAGAAGCATTTCTAACGATACTGGTATGAATGTCTTACTCTTTACTAATGGCTCCTTCATAAGTGGGGAAAATACATTTCTGTTGTGTTTCCTTTCAGTTTAAAAGCCACCTTCAAATACCACTTGTATTACCTGCCGGTGTGCTACAAATGGCTGCAAATTATGGAGAGAAAAATTGTGTTTTGTTATTGCATTTTTTTGTGTTGCTTTTCTTTGTTGTTTTATTATTTGTTTCTGCCTAATTCAAATAGTTAACCTACTGATTAGAGCTGTAGTGAAACTATTGGGGGAAAAATCTATTGTATGATAAATATCCATGGTTAAAAGTTTGATTGTTGTTAGCTCTGCTGACTAGTAATCATTTTATTTGTTGTTCACCCTTTTTGCACCTCAGATGCCATCACAGAAGCAGAGTTGCAGACACTAACCCATGGCAGTGTAGACCCACTGCCCACACCAGGACAGGACTCCTCCTTTTCTAATGCTGCTGATGCTCCCCGCCCCTTAAACCCCAGCCATGACACCCTGCCCTGTAATCTGGCCTCCACACCGGATAGAGGCCCAAGCGCTGCTAAAGGAGTGGGTCAGCATCCTCCCATGTCCTCCTGGCCCTGTTTCACACCTATAGAGAACTCCTTCAGCCCCTGCGCTGCTGAGGACCCCTCAGTGGAGCTGTCCAAGGGACTGTGTCCCTACGAGCCGCTGTTTGACCTGGCCTTACCTAGGCTGGCCTCTCTGTTTGTGGAGAAGAGGACAGCAGAGGCTCAGCGGAATGCTGGAGGACAGCAGGAACACAGAGAAGAACTGGAAGGAGAGGACCTGTCTGCCACGTCTCCTCTTGAGGTGCTGGATCGTCTCATCCAGCAAGGCAATGACCTCCACGAGAAAGTGTTGAAGAGGTACGAAATGTCCATGAGAGGGTTTTACAAAAGGTCTTAAGACAAACACTGCAATTTAAATGCAAAAAGGAAATAAACTTAAGAAGTTATTAAATGTTCTACAGCTTTTAGATGTTATTTTGTCAACTCTTTCAGTCTAAGACATGTAATGCTGTCATTGAAGAAAATATTCAAGAACAGTTTATTTTTTTAGGAATGGGACTTTGTAGATCCTTTTTATTATTAGAATTATTGTTAAGCATAAAGATAAAAAAAGAATTTAAGAAATATGTACTTTTTTTTTTTTTGATAGATACCAATTTAAGCCTGGTTTTAGAGGTTTCTTTTCAACTGCAATTTTGTAACATTGTTCCAACAGAGAAATGTGTGAAAGTTCTGCATGTGCTGTCTTTCAGATCTCCTTCTCTGTCAAGTCAGTCATCTGAGCCACATTCAGGAGGTAAACATCATAGCGCTAAAGGAAAAGGTATTTAGTAATCTAATATACAAATAGACTCTGCACTCTGTCGAGAAGATTCTATCCTCCCGCCTGTCCTTTGGGTCCTTTCCTGCTTCTCTGTGTGTATCTTTTTCTATTTCTATATTTTTGTCTGTCTTTTAAAGTGAGTACTGATATTCTGTCGTTCCTAATGTTCTTGTTTTGTATTTGCCCTTTAAAACGTTAAATTTAATATCTTTTCCTACCTGTTTATCAGACGTATGCTCAGAGTGTCCGTCATTGTAGCTTTAGAATCGTACTGCCATAACCCTAGAAATTAGGGAAGTCCCAATCAGGTTTTTTGTGCCTCTAATCTGTCAGTCATTTAATGTTGGATATTCTCCCATACTGTCTGATCTGACAAAAGGCAGCTAGCTCAATTGTAATCAGAACATTGGCATTGCGGATATCACTGGCTTTTGGGCTGTCTACATTGCAGACATTTAAACTGCTTTGTTATCTTCTGAAAACATGCCTCGCCACGCAAGATGTTTGCCACACCTACAACAGTGGCGTAAATGTAGCACATTTAAACAAAATAGCCTTAATAAAAGATCAGCATTTTCATTGGATTTAATAGAGCTGACGTCAGTCAATTAAAATATGCTTTGATTGGCTCCAGGTCTTATAGATCAGACTGGGTCATCTGTGCCAGAAATACATAAATCTTATGTAACAGACCAGTAGTGGACTTTCTGTGTTACTAAGGTTGGTGTATATTTTGCAGGCATAAGTCCAGGAGCTCCAGATGAATTAACATTGCTGCGCAGTCAACAGCTGCTACTGCATAACCAACTGCTTTATGAGAGGCACAAAAGAGAGCAGCATGCACTGCGCAATCGCCGCCTCCTCCGCCGTGTTATCAACGCCACTGCATTGGAGGAGCAGAACAGCTCTATGGTAAAGAGACTCAGTACTATGAAATTAGAAAAGTCTTGAGATTCATGCATTTGACCATTTGTAACCACGTTCTTGGTCACTTTATTCCTTCATTGTAATATTGTTTATTATGACTATTTACAAATCCCTTACTAATTTTGGGAGCATTGTGAGCAAACATCATATTAAAAAAAAGTATTTTGGGTAAATGGTAGAACAAATATTTGTTTGCATATTTACTTTTGCGCAGAAGCTACAGGACTAATGTAGCTAACAAGTAATGGAAGCATGTAGCCTTATAGTCACCAGTTATCATTGTCAAAACTGTGTACGTAATCAGCACATACTTCCCTCAAACTGCAGCAAGTTATGAAGTTATCTCAAACAGATTTACTTATGTGCTTTCTGACACTGCATGACAGAGGTTTCCAATTTTATCCGCAAAGGGTTTTCATTCCAAACAATTAGAGAGCACACCTGATCCCACTCTGTTATTCAGTCAGTCTCAGTTTTCAAACTGAGTAAGTGTGCTCCTGCTTTGTTGCAACGAAAAACCTCCAGCCACACCGGCCCTTTGGAGCAAATGGAGCAAAAATACAATGTGCAGCTACAAAGCAGCTGTTTAAAGGCCTTAATTTTGTTCATATCTTTGTCTAATTTGTCCACACTAGCAGACTGAAGACACCAGGCATGACTTGGCTGAGCAGCTTCATTTGGGAAAAGGGGAAAATTGTGTAATTTTTTTTTTCCTTTAACAATATAATTCAGGAATCTGATGAATTAATGCATTTGTATCTCTGTGTTTGTGGTGCAGAAGGCTCAGCTGCGGCTGCAGGAGGTGGAGATCCAGACTCTGCGGGTGAGTCTGCAGGAAGAACGGCAGCGCTCAAAGCATCTTCAGCGGGATAGTGAGGCGCTTGTGCAGCAGCTCCACAGCCAGGTCCAGCAACTCCAGCAGGAAAGAAATGACTATCACACCAAGACTCAGGAACTGCAGGTCAGCCCCTGACATGAGCACAGACAACTGGTAGTGCTGATGGAATTGTCATGTACCCAAGGTGGAAGCTAATAGTAAATACACAAGAGTGCTGATGATTTTGTAGGAACAGTTTAACAGGCCAACATAGAGTTGAGTGGTTCCTGTTTGGAGTAAATAAGTTACACTTATTGATTTTTTATTAAACCATGATAGAAATTTCTCCCTCACCACTAATGTAGTCAATCAGACATGACATTTACTCTCTGTAGTTTCTTTAGTTTTACTAAGCACTTTTGTAACAGTGTTGTCATATAGTATCAGAAACCCCTAAGTAGGTTTCTTTGAGATTACTCAACAATTTGGTGTCCATTGAGGCAAATAAGTGACAATATAGGCAGCATGCATTTTAGAAAGTGCTAAGTGGTGGGATATAAATTTCCATTATTTGTTACCTGCTTTAGCCTTGTAGTTCCAGTGCAAAACTAAAGAAGCAAACTTTGGACACCAAACATGTCTTAGCATGTTGACTACATTTTGAGTAAGGCTAAAATTGTGTAAATCGCCTAAATGGCAATGAGTATGCTTTTTGAGTATGCTTTTTAAAAGTGCTGGCTATCTGTTTTAAAGATTAAAAGTGCCATAAGTGTTTTTTTTTGTTTGTTTTATCAGAGTGACTTGCAGGACAGACAGAAAAGAATGGGTGAGATGGAGGCGGAGCTGCAGAGAGCCAATAACAAACTGTGCAATACAGGACACCTGCTCAGCCAGCTGTCTATCAAGGTGAGCTGAACTTTGAGACTACTGTCTCCAAAATCAGCTACGTTATCAGTTAGAGCGCATGAATAAGAATTCACATGCATTTGTGTAATCACTGTTCTGCAGTGTGATTCATTTAATATGTCTTATGCACACTCAAGCTCAACAACAGTGAAAGTATGGAGCAACAGATGGCCTTCTTGAACAAACAGCTGCTGCTGCTAGGGGAAGCCAACAAACTGTGTGTGGAGGAAATCCAGCGCTTAGGACCTGAAGCAGATAAGGTAAATATACAGCCCCTCTCATGTGAGACAAGCACAACATAACAGTACTTGTGCCAACAATCCATGGTCAACAGGTTAGGAAGTGTTCCTTAGATGTTCACAGATCACTTCATGCAAGTCTATGTCGAGTCTCGAGTCTCTGGGTTCTGAGTCCAAGTCATGTCTTCAGTCTCTGGGTTGCAAGTTCAGATTGAGTCTTAGAGTCTCTGGGTTGCAAGTCCTAGTCGTGTCTCGAGTGTCTGAGTTGTGAATCCGAGTTGTGTCTCGAGTCTCTTAACCGCTATATGCAGTATTTAAAAGAAAGAAGGAAATCTAAGAGGGCTGGATAGTCTGGAGTTGGATGCTGCCTAGTTTATTACGTTTTAAAGGAATGTGAGTTGTAACCTACTAAAACTTCTGCTAGATTAAATGATAACTTCAGCTATAATAGCCAGTGCGCTAGCTAGCATACTTGTTATCCAAAGTACATGCAGCCGGCTGTTTCAAGTTATTTTGCCTCTTTCTTTTTAACACTGCATTTACTGCTTTTGGCACTTTCTGTTTATCAGACTGAAGGTTTTTCAGTGATTATTACAGCTACACATATCATAATGTGATTATATGCGTGTAATGTGTGTTATTTCGGTTAGAATGCATCTCAACCAATCAGCTTGCGTGGCCGGAACTAACTGTTGTATAATATATTACATTTTTAAGCACCCTAATTTATATGCGTGCATTTGCTCCTGTCATTATGATGATGATGGAAATTTTCATTTCTAATTCCTGTATGTTTCTTTGGTATTAGGAGCTGAAGATGCTGCAGGCGTGTTCTGCACGAGAGGTTGAGAGGTTGAGACAGAGCTCCATGCAGCAGAGCCAGAGGCTGGAGGCAGCTCAGCAACGCATCGCAGACCTGGAGGCCCAACTCACCAAGAAAGAACACCTCATTCTGGAGCAGAAGAAACTTCTGGAAAATGTCAAAGCCCAGGCCAAGTACATGCTTCTTTCTTAATGCACCATCCATCATGGTTTTGAGTGGCAGTGCTTTGTTTTTGGATATTGTAACGCTTGATGTATATGTTTTGTTTTGTTTTTTTTTCCCCACTGCAGTGTGTAACACCTCTGCTTGAGCTCTTGGTTTTAAGATTGTCTCCTTCTATTTATAAAGTTGTAAATTCCTCTTGATGATTTGTGTTTTGTCCTGTAGGGGGCAGCTGCAAGCTTCAGAGAACAGGTATCTGGCCCAAAAGCATGTGACTCAGGCACTGCAATCTGAACTGCTTCAGCTCTACAGCCAGCTAGAGATAAACAGTCTTTCCAACAGTACACCAGCAGGGGGTGCCGCTGAGCCCAGCGGCCCTCCAAACAAGAGGTGAGTTACTTGAAACTTGTTTGTTTCTGATTGTTTTGTTGGATAAAACATAACAAAGGAATGCATATTAAAAAGAATGCTTACTTGTTAAAGTTTAGCAGGTGTTATAGACTTAGGCTGTCTGAATGCAGACCCTGATTTCATCATATGAAATAGTCTTTATCTTGTGGTATTTGTGGGTCCTTAAAACCTCATAGATTTTATTAAAGCGATGTAAGGCCTTTCTATGAGTTTTACTGCTTGTATGCATGCAGAATGTTTTCCAAGATTCCATCTATGTTGGACCCAAATCTGGCTCATTACACAGGTATTAAAAAGGTCTTTAAAAAATTAATTTGCTTAAACCTGTATATACTAAGGTTTTTAAAGTCCAAGTTAACCTTTTATAAGGACATATTTCATTTTTAACTACTGTTTATACTGATAAATTACATTGTCTAACAGTGTTTTTTGTAATGTATTATCAGCACAAACTCGACTTTGTAGTATCAGTTATTGGATGAAAATATTAAAAGTTAAAAATTAAAATAGTATGCGAAGGCCAAAAGCCGATGTCTTTTTCTATTTTTCCTAAAAAACATTTTTTTTAATGAACTTATAAAAGTCACTTGTAGTTAATACTGTGTGTGTGTGTGTGTGTGTGTGTGTGTATATGTGTGTGTGTGTGTGTGTGTGTGTGTGTGTGTGTGTGTATGTATGTATGTATGTATGTATGTAATATTATTTTTTATATAGGTGACACATATTACTGTACTGATACGTATTATTCAATCCTGTGATTGGCTAACTAGGGAAAAACATAAAAATTTGTAGAGAAAATGGCCAGTGAACTTTAGTCTGTATACACTGAAATAATGGACAGGCAATACAGATGACTTGGCAAATGGTGTTGGAGCTCTGTTGTGGGATTTAAGAGATATACGAGACCCAGTACACACGTATGGCATATTGTCGGAAAGCTCTGCTTCTCTAGGATGTTCTTCCTTGGTTAACCTTATAGAGACTGTAATAAGTGAATCAGTTTGTGAAGATATTAAACAAATATCCCTTTGTTTTTGTATTTTAGCCCGAATGGCAATAATGCAGGGCCTTCCACACCAGCCCAAATCTCTGAGCCAAGCAAGAGAGAGGAGAGTTCATACGTATGTGTCAATGGTGACTTCTCTCCTGGATCTCCACCTTCCACTGCACTGATCAACGGCAGTCAGGAAGAAGACCTGTCTCTCCTGTCCTGCAACTCCCCACTGGATGTGGGCTCCTGTCCGAGTGCCCAGAGCTTCCTGGGAATTCACAACCAAGAGCTGTTGAATAAGAGGAAGAGCCGGCATGAGGAGGAGCCAGCACCCCTTACCAGCCTGTCCCACGATCTGCAGGAACACAACTCAGAACCTGTAGAAAAACCCCGACCTTGCCTGAACACTGAGGGCATGTCAACCCAGAGCCTGCCAGAGCCATCTGACCTCCAGCCTGTGGATCGCCCCAGAGCCCGGGCCTACAACATTCAGAGACGGAGGCAGCAGGACCTGCGGATCATGGACTACAACGAAACACATTAGAAGAAGACATGAGGAGAGCTTGAAAGGTTGGGTTAGCAGGACTTCTGCTTTGAACACTAGACAGGGTGAGGAACAGATGTTTTGAACTCTGCAGCACTCTTTATTTTTAATGAAAGAGTGGACTGCATTGTTTTAGCTAATTTTTAAAAGCTCTATCGTATTACAAAAATGGCCAAAAAAAGAAACATGTATATACTGAGGGCTTAAAGCTACTGTCAGTATGTTTTAGGAATGGATTTTGTTTTGGACTGTAGTTTACTGTAGTCTCTGTCTGCACTTTTCTCTTAGAGTAACCCTCTTCCATTAGAGCCTGTATGTAAACTGAATTAGGTAATGTTATGTCATTTAGCTCCTGGAACATACTGATTGTGGCTTTAACCAATCCATTCACCCTTAGACAGTCTTGTAACCATCACAGGATGAAATCAGAACATTTTGATGTTTTAGTGTTTTTCTTTTCAGGTAATTGCCTAACCAGGGGTTTGTTGCGGGAATGGATTATTTTATAGGCATTTCGGCTACATGCTCGTTTGAAAGCAACCTGCAGTGGTGGTTTTGTTGTGTTTGGATTGCGTTTGGCCCTCATTGTATTTCCCAGCAAACCTATTGCATCAATCATTGTGTTTGCTTTTGTAACTGCCCAATTGGATAATGGGCCCTTTCAGATTTGGCCAAACCAAAAGGGTCTCTGTGATTCATGGTTAGATGAAGTACATGGAAATATCATTAATTACCAGAAAGCTTTTCTGACTCATGATTCGCTGCAGAAGGAGCAGTGCAATAGACTATTTTGTTCCCCTACAAATTGAGCACTGTAAATAGTTTGTGCATCACCAAATCAAACCCAAACAGTCTGAAAGAAAAAAAGAAAAAGGTAAGTAGCGCAGAAAGAAAAATCATACATTGCATTGCAAAAGCTAGCCAGATGTGTATGATGTCGTAGCCTTGCTTTATGTGCTTTGCCCAAATAGGAAAAGATGAAGCAAGCGTTAAAAGATAGAGATTTTATTTTTTATGAATTCAGTTTAATACTGGGGTTGCATAGCCCAGTCACCAGTGCAATACTTCTCTTAGCATTACACTTCATGCCAGCTCAAAAGCATGAAAGATGAAGCCACATAGGTGTTTTCGCTGCTTGGCAAGACACATCAAAGTCTTGCTCCACATGAGCTATGCTGCTGTTCAGTTCATCCTGCAAAGATGTAGTGCCTCACATTTGGCCCCTCCAGGCTCTTCAGTGAAAGATGTCTAGGCTATTTGATTTTACAGTTATCACAGTTGCATAATGAGAAACCATCGCTGCTTGGAATGTATGTGAAATGTGAATGTTCCATGGTAACAATGTACAGACAACAGCTACAGAAAATACACTAAAACTCAATAGAAGAACTTACAACGGAAATCTAAGCTCACATGTGAATGGACTAATGTCAGGAGTTTTTTTTTTTTCATATTCCGTTCATTCTCTCTATTACACATTGCAAATCTTTTGGACAGAATAGCTTTCTAATCGTCAAAGTAAAAGCATTTCTCCTTTTAGCCAAATTAAGGCTATTTATGATCTCTTGCAGTTCAGATCTATGGGCTGAATTGCCCAAGAAAAAAGATCCAATGCAAAATGTCAGTTAAAATGTGAAAACAGGTAGAAAAGAAAATGTGAAATATTGCTTGAAGTAGCACAGCTTTAACCTGTAACTCAGAGAAATGCCTCAGATTTGCATTGGTAAGGAAGTCTTGGAAGTTCTTGTAAACTGTTCAAGCCTATTCTTGGACTTGAAAGGATTTTAAGCGGTGCGTCACTAGGATAATTTTGTTCAGGAAACCAACCCTGAGTGCTCCCTGTGGATGAGAAATATCTGCCAAGACTTACTATTGCACCTGCTCACAATTACAGATCTTGCAGCTTATATTTCATTTTAATGAAATGTATCCATAAATGTTGTTACTGCTTGTTTTGCGAGCAAAAGCCCTCCCAGACATTTGTGTGATTTATATAGTTCACAAAATGCCTTAATATGAATAGGACATCTCTCCTTGCCCCAGAGGCCAAATTCCAATGGTTTTTACAACTATGGTACAATTTGACAACAATCTGGAGTGGAGTCAGATGTCCTCAGGGACTCTGTTCAAAAAGTATTGATTCTGAATAGACACACAGAGAAAAGGTATTCTACTTGTTAAGCTATGATCAAGAAAAATAAAAAAATATATGTTTTGCACATTTTGATTTCACTGTTTTCTTTCTTGCTTAATATTGCTTTAATAAAAATATAACACTTCTCAATTACTGCTAAAAGTAGTAGTAACTGGCATACACACCCCTGGTCAAATTACATGCTTAGTTAATTTTCTAAGTGAAAATAGTTAACATCCTCCACAGAGAATGCACCTCAGCACATTTGAATGCACAATTACTGTTTATTTGTTAAATGTAACATTGAGGGGAAAAAACCTAAAATGTGGCCTGTGCAAAAGTTATATTTTATTTTTACAAGTATGTTAAACTCCGCAAATAAACAGAAATCGTGCACTAACATTAGCAGAAGAAATGCCATACTTAAGTTTGTGTTAACTTGCATGCAACTGTATAATACTTAATTGAGGAAAAGGTGATTCAGTATTTTTCAGTGTCAGTCAATGTATAGAAAACAATGCTGGTGAGTCATATCCTTGTGCGGCCTGGTGGTCTCCAGGCAGGTTTCCCTGCATGCCATCTACCTGTACCTTTAGACATAGCTTTTGCAGATTGAGTGGAAGTATGTGTGGTTTTCTTACTCTGATCTGCAAACATGTTTCCTGCAGTGCTGGCTATTGGTTGCTGGGGAAGCCTGTTTGCGGTCGTTGGAGTAGGAGGAGGTAGGGTTTGGTCAGCAGTGCTTGTGCGCTTGAAGCTGGCCACTTTGAGCAGGTCCAGAGCCAAGGGAATCACACTCACTACCCCACCATAGTAGTTTCTTGCTTCATTACAGCTCAGCCGGTTGATCTCATCGTGGGGGTAGCTGTAGAGAAGGTATTAAAGAACGGACATTTATAACAGATGTTATTTAAAACGTGTAGATTATTGAAGGAATGGTTTACTGAAAAAAATTAGACAATTTCTCCCTTATACCAGATGTACTAGATCGGCCACAGTGCCCAAGCAAGTAAAGTCTGTCACCAAGAATCAGTAACCAAAACTAAAGATGCAAACTTTGGATACCAAGCATGTCTGGGCTGATCTGCTGTGTTATGAGTAAGGGACAATTTGTGTAAATTTAATTGCTCAGTGAATCATGCATTTAACTGCATGCATACAATCAAAGCTGTAGTGTGCATGTACTCGAGTTAATTCTGGGTTTATGGGTTGGTGTTAGATAATATGGGTCCTGAATAGCCTTTTATTAATTTTCTTTCACAAAAGAAACACATTTTCAATTTAATTAGCCAGTTTACCATTCCATCTATTCAATAGAAGCAATACACTAGTTGAGCATCAATAAACAGGTTTCTTAGGAGGCCTCATCTCCCACCCTAGTTAAGTTTATGAGCTCCAATCAGTTATTTTATTTAAAATGAATAAAGAGTGTTACACAACTCTGCCCGTAGCTGGCTGATGTTGCAGTTTGGGCTGAGAAGCTTCTTACAGGTCTCCAGAGCTTCACTTGAGTGACTTTGGGCAGACAACGTGAACTCCACAAGTTTGAACACCACCTCAAGATCAGCCATGATGTCCAGAAAGAGAGAGAAGATCCGCCTGTCCGTGGCATTGCTGCAGTGGTGGGTCATGTACTTCTGCACCTACATGAAGAAGGTTTTTGGTGTGTGTTTAAAAACAGAGACTGGTAGTAACTAGTTACATTTATATAGTTATATGTACTCAGGTTAAATTTTGATATTTGTAGTTTCCTGATTATTATGACACGTTTACTTGTACTCAAGTATATTTGTGAGGAACATAAACTGCTCTTAGCTACATTTTGGTCATTAACATTTAGTTACTGATGCTGGATGTACTAAGAAAATCCAATTCAGTTCTATAGCTATTTGAAGTTTTTTGACATGGTACTTTTTTACTTTTAATACCATCTGAAAGGTACTTTTGCTTAAGTAGTTTAACTGGGGCAACAGTACTTCTACTTGAGTATGGGTTTAGGCTACTCTCTTAAAAAAGATGGTTTTTCAGGGGTTCTTTAGTAAATGGTTATTTTTTAGAACCATGAGTTCTATATAGAAAATGTTCATGCTTTAATTGTTCTTTGCATGCTGAAATGGTACTTCAGATTGATGGAGAAAGTGTATATAGAACTTTTTTAAAGAATGTCAAATGTCAAGCTTGTAACAATAGATGAACCATTTTTGGTGCTGTATAGAACCATTTTCAAAAAGGTTCAATACATATACAACACATACATATATAACACATTATCCATCAATCTGAAGAACCATTTCACCATGCAAATGACCATTTAAGCATGAAATGGTTCTATATAGAATAGAACCATTTCCTTTACTAAAGAACCTTTTGAAAGAGTGAGTACCGTCCACCTCTAGTTAAAAACGATATGTAGATACAGGTGACTTAGTTCATCGAGTCTGACTTACTTGAGCTACTGAAGAGACAGGCTCCGTTTTGTCATGAGCGCGCTCCCTGGATCTCTCCAGAGCCGCGATGAACGTAAACTGCTGCTGCTTGAAGCCTTTATGCCTCTGCTCGATGGAAAGCAATCTCTCTCGCACCTCGTTCATTTTGCCGCCACCTGCATCTAAAACTGTTCATAAGAATTGTCAAATTTTAGAAATGACAGCTTGGTAGATGTTGACCGCATGCCATTGCCAGTTAGAAAAAAAACATTAACTAACGTTAAGTAAGTTAAGTTATGTTTGGTATAGTCAAATAAAGACGATAGTTTTTCGATTTTTCCGTTCCACCTTAAATGGTACCTAAAGTAGTCACATTCTAGTGCCTGCAATGCGCCAGTATGTAACTGCTGCATCATTAAAGGTGGAACGGAAACTTCGAGATAAAAGCCAACTTAAGTCTTATCTCAGTTTTGCAAGCTGAACATTCAGGTCAACAACAACGTCCCATATTCCCTTAAATTAGGCGGTACAATCACAAACGGCACAAATAGCACATTCTAGCTAACTTTACCGGTTTGTAAAAGCGTGTTTTTGCACTGGATATCAAACTTTTAACGATGTCTTGCAGTCCTCCCAGGAAATTATTCCAGGCTAAGGAACTGTTGTCGCGCAGTTGCTCGGCAACAAGTAACGGTTCCCTGCGCCTGCGTGACTGCTGCTACTGGGGTGATTGGCTTATTCGGTAACCATTGGCAACTAGTAAGATGCGTGCGCGCGGTTTGGCACAACAGTTAACGTTAGCAACCGACGCTGCGTTAGTCCTAGCTACGTAATTTCACTTTGGGCGCATAAAGCGGAGAATAACGCTGTGGTCTGTACCCCTGGTGACAGAAAGCGAATAAAAAAGGTTAGTAACTAGAAGGATGTTGATTGTGTACATGAATTTAGCTGATGTCTTGAGGCACTCCAGCCAAGTTAGCCTCCAAGGACTCCCTTACGCGCCTGTAGTGACCGTTAAGCAGAACAGTTCTCTGCTGCTACGTCTGTAACTTGTTTCATTTCTAGCTAGGTTAATATCCGACTTTTGTGCTCTTGCTTAATGAAATTAGGAAGGATGGTGTGCTTTGGTTATTCTAGCCATACTCAAGACCAAGCCTCCTCGTAGCCCAAACGTAGTTAAGTTTATAGGTTAAGACATGTTTGATGTCTAAATTGTGCTTCTTTAGTTTTGCCGCGGAGCTGTAAGGCTAATGTAATATAAATCTGCGTCATTGAAAAATGTATTTGGGTGTCATAGACGTCCGTTATCTTTAGCTACATTATCCTCACAGCATTCAGTGCAAAACTAACGAAGCTAACTCCAGACACCAAATATATCTTGTTTGATCAGCTGCATTTGGGTTAAGTGGGAAATTGTTTAAATTAGATTTTTCGGTGAATTATTCCCCTAACAGGCAATACATTAACTAAAACAGAAGCAGTTTCCCCAGACTGGTGTCCCTGCCTGCTTCTCCTTGTTTAACCACCAGTTTAATACACAATGACGCATGGATAACTTTTGAAAATGTGTTCCACACTCTCAAAAAAGATGGTTCTTTAAGGGTTTTTTAGTAAAGAAAATTGTTCTATACAGAACCATGAACACTCAAACAACCATTTTCATGATTAAAGGGTTTTTGCATCATGATGAAAATGATTCTATATAGCACCAAAAAGGGTTCTGGTGTTGTTACAATATGAGCTTGTAACAATCGAAGAACCTTTTTGGTGCTATATAGAACCATTTTCAAAAACATTTTATATAGAACCATACACAACACATTCTCCATCAATCTGAAGAACTTTTCACTGTGCAAAGAACCTTAATCATGAAAATGGTTCTTTGAGTGTCCATGGTTCTGTATAGAATCATTTCTTTACTAAATAATCCTTGAAGAACCATCTTTTTTTTAAGAGTGCAGATGTTCTAGTAAAAACAATAACAAATCCTGAGACCTTTCAGTTTGTTTTTGCTTCACAGATTCAGTCTAGTAGGCCTTATCAGCAGTGCTGATAAGCTCTTCTTTTCTGTTCTTTTCTCTTCTCTTCCCTAGAGCAACTTCTGCAAAAGGCAAGACTGATGTACAGCCCCACTGAATGTAATCTTCTTTGGTGGTAACTAAATAATAATAGCTAAGGATGGATGCAACAGTCAAACCTTTAAGGATTCCTCCTGAAATGTCTATCTATGCAGAGAAGCATGAAATATTTGACCTTATTCAGGTTAGTGGAATCCTGGCATCATGTATTCAATGAATTCATACTCTGAAATCAACCCATACACATTTTTCTTTTGCACAGACACTTGTGAGAAACCTCGTGGTAGACAAGCCTGTAGATCCTATTCAGTACCTGATTGAAATGCTGAAAAGAGAAAGCATAGAAGGTAAAAGCCCAGTTGGTTTGTTCAAAAATCAAATTTTGATTTTTGTTTCTCATAACGCCAAAGTTAGCTTTGTATTTGCCAGCTTCTTATCGGAATTTTCAGTTCCGCGTTAAATAGTGCTGCAGCTATATTCTGGCAGCTGTTACTGAATGTAACTGCGGCAGTATTTAAAGTGAAACAGAAAATTCAAATAAGAAGTTAACTGTGTATTCCTAAAGGCTTATTTACAGCAGCATTTTATTCACCTTCTGAATGTTACTTCTCAAAACTGCCACTAGATGGCACCCTCTCACCATTGCACTGCTGTTGGAGATTTTTAAGATGAAATTGCCATTCCATGAAGAACAGTGATCAGAACATTAATCAAATTGACTAACTTTGATTGAATTGATCTTATGAGTTAGGTTAGTTCTAATAAATTCCAAATTGTCAAATAGCGGATTATTGTCAATAGCAAAATCTCATTTCTAAAGAAGCTTCTATTTTTAGTGCCAAGGATTATGCTATTGGGACCACCAGCTTCGGGGAAAAGAACCATCGTACGTACTTTTTAATGTGATAAAATATTTCCATTTTCAGATATGCTCACTTTTAGCTGTGCAAATGTCGAGGAGATTAGCATTCATTTAAGATTTCATATTTGTACTTCATACATAAGTTTATTTGAAATCAAAGATAAAAAAGCTTTTCCTTATTTATATCTCGAAGAATACAGTTAGAGTTTCAGATTAGTGTATCACTGCTGTCAGAGCAAAACCTCATATCTCCAAAATGGTAAATTTACAGGAAAAGGAAAAAAACACACTTTACTTTTAATGTAATTCAATGGAACCAGAGTTTTTCCCATGTAAATTTGGGCCATTTCTTTGAGTGCCTTTTTACACCCAATGTAACAGGCAAGATGTACTTGGAAATTATGTCAACAACTGAAAAATGGAGATACAAGGTTTTACTCCAACAGCAGCAATATGTCCTCTCAGTTATTTATGCTGGCTGCACTTCTGCCATGAAATGGTCTCTGTCTATAATCCTCAGTTCTATTACTGCTTGTGGTTTTGCATTTTATATGCTGGTTAAAACTGATTTAATTTGTTTTACTACAGGCTAAAAAGTTGTGTGAGCACATTGGTGCAATCCACATAACTGCTAGTGATATCCTTAAAGATGACACTGACCTGACCAGAGCTGCACAAGAATACACAGAGAAGAATAAGGTGGGACTTCATCACTTGTTTCAGTCTGTTTATGCATGTGTACGTATGGAGCTTGCACACTTCAAAACATCTTAAGTAAACTAAACTGCAATTTAAAAATGACTTGGATATATTTAGATTTAGTCTTTGACCTTGTCTTGACTTTTTATTTAGACATACAGAAAAATAAAAAGTTTTTTTATTCCAAAACAATAGCTTTATCTGAGGTTTAACCAATTCTGCTGATTCTGTTTGAAGTCTCCTCATGCAAATGGTATGCAAAATAGTTAGCTAGTAGAACAGAAAAGTTGAATATAGGAGGAAAAAGAAAGGCATGCTTAGAAAAAGCTTTTCCCAGTGGCTTAATTATTCTAATTATCCTCCCACTTAAACTCAACGTGGCCTTCAATTTTAAAATGGAACGGTCCAAAAAGACACAATTATCATTTTGATGGAATCCATAATGGAATGAGTGATTAAAGGCCTGCAGTATATCAGTAATCTGGCGGTTAATTATGTATATGTGATCTGAGACATATTTGAACTCAGTGTTTTGACTTGATGATAATTGTTTTGTCTGCTTAGCTTATTTACACACAAAGATGTAGGCTGACACATTTGTGATAGGCCAGTGTTAGTGAACAGAGGGCTGACCACACAGGGTGTAGACCTCAACATCACTGAATGTGTTTGAGATCACTTGGATCGTGAGAAGCAGAAAATGCAACCAACTTCTCAGACTGAACTAAATTTTGGAGGTGTGGAAAAACATCCCTGCAGACATCTTCAAAAAGAATGGAAGCTGTAATAAAGGGTGGAGACACTAAATATGGAAAATGTTGATATTATATTTAATTTTTGAGTCTTCTTTGTACTTTTGTTAAATATATGTTTTCTGTTTTTTTCTGATGCTGAAAAATGAATAACTTTTAAATAAATGAAGGATGGTCTCTGACTTTTGCACAGTATCTGTTGTTGTATCTGCATCTGTTACTGTATCTGTATCTGTCAGTTTTTACATCTTACATGCTAATGCAAAGGACTGGTTAGACTTAAAATAGAATCTTTTTCTGTAGTGAGCCCTCACCTCTCAGTGAACCAAAGGCTAAAATTCTCTTCTTGCTTGAAAGACTGTTGTGTAAAATTAAGCTTAAGTTTTTTTTCCCTGCCTTTTTTCAACATATTTTAAACATGTAAACATTTAGAGGGTTACTTTAACTGTTCTTATTGCTGTTCTAATAGGAGATCCCACGAGAGCTTTGGATCAAGCTGATTCAGGAGCGTCTGTCAAAGGTTGACTGCGTGAGGCGGGTAAGCATTTACTTGATACAAGATGTCGCAGTTAATCTGGTGAATTTATTTGCTTATCTAATGTACAATTATGTACAAAATGTATGGAATATTAATAAAACTAGTTTCTGCTCAGTTTGTGATGAGGCAAACCTAGCCATAAGGTGTATGTAAAAGCACAAGGCAACTTTAATGGACACATGCACACGCACAGGTGTTAGGCACATCACACATCTTACTCATACGGGTTTTGTAAGCAACAACAAATGTCCAAATCATTTCTTTGGTACTCTGTGTGTATTTACGCAAGTGCACTATGATAAGCTAATTACCCACGTGTGTGTCTGTGTTCCCTGAGGAGCGGTAGCAGTGGTCTCAGGGGACCTCTAATGCGTGTGTGCGTGCGCGTGTGTGTTTTTTTAAGGGACCCTTTCATCACTGGGCCCTTTACCCGCCTCCGCTCACCTGATCTCCTCACTAACGCTACTAAAGAGTCCTCCATCCAGCTGTCCCCCAAAAACCTCACACTCTTTCATTCCTCGTTTCATCCCGCCATCACATCATGCAGTCCGTCTGCCTGTCATTCCGAAACGTCCCAGCACCCTCTCCTCCTGATCCCTCCGTTCTCTGAAGTGTCAGTTTCCCCTGTGCGAGCGCACAGCGAAATATGTAAATCATTAAAAACTGCAAACAACGTTTTCCTCTTATTCCTTTTTTAACTCTGCAAATGGCTTTACTTAGCCCTGAATCTCATTACTAAACTTTTTCCACTTGGCATCCTTTAACTTTCCCCTTTTAATCTCAGTAGTTTATGATTAGTATCTGCTTTTAATCTGGTAATGGATGTTTATCCCTGCAGGCAAACTGTCTGATGCTATTTATCAACTTATTTAATTATTTTCTGCCCTGTTCTGATCTGCATAAGCGCGGCGAAATGAGTGAGAAACGGAGGCGATTCTTCTCTGTAGATGAAGACACCTGACAAAGCATCTCAATCAGTGCTCTGTTTGGGCTGCAAATGTCTCTGTCACACCATGATGCTCCTTCATCTCCTGGTCTCATGCTTTCACACGTACTTTAATGGGCTAAAGAATGGAATGATTGACACACTGCACCACCACTGAAGTAGTGAGGCAGCTAAGCTTAATTGCTGTGCCTCTGTCGCCTATGTGAATGCGTGCTCGTGTTTGTACCTGTTTCCTTTTTTTTTCCAAATTAAGCAACACTGAATGTTAATCATGCCTAATCTAGGTCATCTAGTTCATCTCCGCCTGTCACTGCTTCTCAAACTGTCTTACTGTACGCGTCTTTCCTCTTCGCTCTCGCGAGGCTGCTGTTTGTAAAACTTTAGACTTGTAATCTAGGGGGAAATCAAGAGAGTAGAAAATGTAAGGAAGCACAGGTAATGAATAGAGAATTAAAGTGAAATATCAACTTAATGAATACCCTCGCAGTCCCAGAAAAAGAACCCCAAAAGTAAATTGGGGGAAAAAAAAAGAAAAGAGAGAAAGACTGAAAGATCATGTGGCAAGTGTTGCAGTCATCCAGATCCCTAATGAGACTTGCATATAAAGTTAGACTGTTAGAATTTGCATAATGCCTTTAATTCTATATTTAGGGAGATGGGGGAAATATGCAGGAAAGTTTGCAATTGAAATGTAATAGGATTTGGAAAGTTTTTTATTTTATTTTATTTTTTCCCCTGTAGTTGACACGCAAATAATGGTTTTCAAAGATGAGGTGTTTTTAGCACCATGCCATTCAGTGCCATTCAAAATGCTTTTCTGATTATAGTACATGAAACAGGTGAATTAATCTTTTGTGGATAGTAGTAATACCAACTTATGAGTTGTTTGTGATTGTTTGATTGTTTTAGATTTGGTCAAATGTCCATTACCATACCAGATTTTAATAGTCTTCTTCATCCTAAAAAGGGGACATTAGGAAATTCATTGGCGCAAAATGATCTTATTCATGGATACAAACATGGCATCATGAGCTATAATGTGCACTGTATCTTGTATCTCTAAAATTACATTATAAAATTTTATAGCTGGGGGCACAAAAGATGTGTTATATCTATCATGTTGCAAAATCTATGTTGCTCAATTGACACTGTATAAAATATAAAAAAAAATAAAAACAGGAAAAGCTTCGTCCAACATTCAGCTGTTTTCCAGTTAAATTAATACGTTGTGTAATATTAACTTTGTATGTAACTGCTCCTTAGACTTTTGATAAATTCAAATGAGTCTACTGCTATTTTGATCAAATACTGCAAATTAACCATATGGGGCCATCATATTCTCAATCCAGTACTGTGCAAAAGTTAGAGACCACCCTCATTTATTTTATTTCCAGTCAAACCGGACAGTAAGTGCAAGTTATTAATTTTAAGAGGATATTTCTGAGGAGATTAGATGTAGGATAATACACTTGCATAAGAAAGGGGAAAATAAATGAAAAAAACAGGAGTTTCCAAAACTGGAGTTTAAATAAATGATTAAAAAATACAGAGAGAATAAAACTCATGGTAGACCACCCAAACTGTCCCCATCAGATAAACAGTACTTAAAGCTTTCATCTTTGAGAGAGAGGAGAAAATCAAGCTCAACTTTTGTTTCAGATCTGAAAAAATCCACCAGCGTTTCTGTCCATCCTTTCACTGTGAGAAGACAAATCAATGCTATGATTCTGAATGGATGTGTATCTGTCAAGAAGCCCTTATTGAAAAAAGAAAATAGACAAAAAAGAGGCTGTTGGTGTTCTCAGAACAGTGGACTGGCCACCCTAGAGTCCACACTTTAACGTCATTGAATGTGTTTGAAATTACTTGGATCGTAAGAAGCAGAAAATGCAACCAATGTCTAAGACTGAACTTTGATGGGGTGAAAAAATATTCCCACAAATGTTTTTTAAAAACTTAAAGCAATTCTCCCGAAAAGAATGGAAGCTGTAATAAAAAGGGTGTAATTTTCTACTACGTATATGTTTTCTGCATGTTTTTAGTCCTGAGGCAGAAAAATCTACAAGTTGTACTTAATGGCTGTTTTGACTGAAAATTAAATAAATGAAGGGTGATCTCAGAGTTTTACACAGTATCATATCTCTGAACAAACCAAAAGTTATGAAATACTGCAAATCAGATGTGGGAAGCCTTTGCACAATGCAGCAGTCTATAATTGCATTTTCAAAAACTGATATTTTAAATAGCAAGAAGTGAGGTTTGACTCTTGACAATAGTGTAGTCCTTACACTTTAACGTTCACCAGTTTGAACAGCTAAATATTTATAAGACGTTATTCCACCACTCTGTTTATTTCTGCTTGAGACATTGCTGTCTTTATCTTTCTAAAATATACTATAATCTGTTAAATTGAAAAAAAAATGGATCTTAATATTTTTGCTGCATTTGTTCCTAAAACTCGCAGTTTGTCTTTTAAAAAAATCATATAAGAAAAGATCTTATGTCCTAACAATACAGTATCATCAGCATATTCATAGAAATACATTGAAAGGACACTCGTATACATTCACACACACTAAAATTTGTAAGTAACATGGATTTTTAGGAAAAATAAATAATAATACAGAGACAATGGCTATGTGTTTAGCAGAAGGATGGCTCAATTGGCTAATTGTACAGTCAGGGGGGGAAGTCATGGAGGCTTTGTGTGAGGACCCCAGCAGCGTGTTCAGGTGTATGTAAGTTAAGTCGGGTCGCGGCGGCAGTTCGCGTGCCTTGCCTGCTGTTGAGCTAGCGGGTGACATCTGCTGCATGTGTGTCCCTCCTGTGATACGCAGCCTCGCTGCAGATGTTCCAGTGTTAGGGTCTCTGTCAGAGCCTGGCGCCCCAATACCACGTCTCCTTTTGATGTGTGGATGAAAAGGAATGGAGCAAGCCGCTGCTGGGCTCTGGGGACGAGAGAGAGAGAGAGAGAGAAAGAAAATGAGAAAGTGAGAGAGTGTGTGTGTGTGTGTGTGTGTGTGTGAGAGAGGCAGTCTCATTACAATTTCGACCTGGCTTGGGACTCTCCTTCTGGCCTCAGCCATCCAGGTCTAGATCCTTGAAGAGCTGCTTCACTTTCTAACTCACCTGGTTTCGAAAATGTGACACACATGCTACATTGTGCTGTACTGTACAAAAGTCATAGAGCATTCTTTCATTTATTTATTTTCCAGTCAAAAGAGCTAGTATGTACAAGTTATTCATTTTTCTGCACCAGGAAAAAAGCAGAAAACATATATTAACAGAAAATTATACAGAAGCCTCAACAACTAAATATAATATCAAAAGCTTCAGTATTTAGTGTGTCCACCTTTTGCCTTTTGAGAGAATGGTATCTTTCTTGTAAACACATCCACAGGTCAGTCCTAGAAGTCGTTTTGTCTAATTCCTTTTCTCTTTAAGGGCTTCTTGACAGCTACTCATCCATTCAGACTCATATTGCTGAGTTGTCTTCTCACAGTGAACAGATGGGCAGAAACACCGTTTTTCAGATGTGAAGCAAGAGTGGAGCTTGATTTTTCTCCTCTCTCTTAAAGATGAAAGCTTTAAGTACTGTTTATATGATGGTGACAGTTTTGGTGGTCTACCAGGTCTTGCATGGTTGTTAGGAGTTCTTTTCTATATAACTTTTAATATATATTTTTTTAAATTCCAGTTTTATTTATTTTCCTTGACTCTCACCTTTATTATACAGGTTGATTTATCTTAGATGTAATCTTTTCAGAAATAACAAGAAAAAAATTTTTAAGAAAAATTTGTACTTGACTCGAAATTAAATAAACACAGGGTGGCCTCTGACAAAACAATGTAAAGTATCATAAATTTTCACGTTTAAAATGAAAGATTCCTAAAGGGTTCTTAGCTTGGATGTAAGGCTCTTGAAAAAAATGTTATAGAACCTTTACATTGTGTGAAGGTTGTTTCAGCATGCATCTCATTTATGTAAGTGGTTATTTATAGAGGATCTGTAGGGTACCAAAAGTTGTTCTTCTGTTGTATCATATCCTTAAAGGGCCCATATTATGGAAAACGTAATTTTCTGTACTTTTTCAAATAAAAAAAAGTTTTATGTAATATGCAAACACTGTTACAGTTTCAAAATATTTAATTCACTTCACAGTCCGTTCAGTCCTTATGTGCAGGGATGGATCATAGTTTTATGAGGCCCCTGGACACACGTGCCTTTGGATCCAAACAACAAAGGTACACTGCTAAACATCTCTGCACATAGGAACAATAGAAAAGTTCCAAAATTACTTGGAATAAAATCTTGCTACATTTTTCTCCTTTCCTATGAAGTTACCATTTTTGACATATGAGTTTTTCTTATGATAGCTATGATACATGCCGTGCCTGTGGATGTTCTTTCTCAATATACAGCTAAACTTAGCTTCAGCGTAGCCTTCTGAAACAGTTACTGACTCAATAAGAAAACTTCTCTGGTATTTTTTAAGGATCTAATCATCCAGGGTCCTCCCAGCTGACCTCTTTGTCCAGGATGGAGGGTTTGTGCTCGGGTGTCTTTGGCCTCTTTTCCGTCAAGAACTGTTTAATGCCAGGCTTCGGAGTCAGTGTTCAGCGCGAGTTAGCGAGCCCAGCCCATGGGCCTAACCGCCACAGAGGCAATCAAATGCTTAATGGGAAAGTAAGTGGGAGGAAACTCGCGCACTGAGATCAGGTGAAGCAAAGGATAGGTTCGCTGTTAAAGATCAAAGCGGGAAAAAACAAAGGCTGATTTCAAACAGGCACAGGCATCTCGGCAGCAAAAACCCACAGCTCCTCTGATAATACTTAGATCTATAAATGTTTGTTGCATATATTTATTTATTTTAAGATTATTCGCCACGGTAATAAGTTGGCCCCTAACAAGCACTTGAGGGAGATGGTTTCTTTGAGGCTTCTTTATTTTACCGCACCATTGCGCAGCAAGCCTTGGGATTTAGGAGACTATTAGAGAGAGATTTTTTTTTATGGATTTGTAGCTAATGAATGATATGCATGCGATTTTTCCCTTTCTTCTTATGTTCTTTTTATGGCCATGTAAGAAGCGGAGGAGAGGAGCTGGAGAATTAGGCACATTTTCAAGGTTTTATGGATTTAACCCTCCTTTTGCCTCACTGCATGAAACCTCATATAGGCCACTTTTACCCTGCATTTATAGATGAATTTATGCATTCATTAGTTTTAGCTCTCATGGTCTCATACAGGGACACTGTTTGTATGAATTATACATTGGGTGCCCATTAGCTGCTTGAAACAACTATTTATCACTGAAAGATTACTTTTTGCTCAATCAAACAGACAAAAGAAGAACTGATGAAGTACAGCAGTTGACCAGGGGAAAGCAGCTGAATGCCTATTTTATGATTTCTAGGCCTTAGATGGTTTTTATCAATTGGCTTGCGCTGTATGTCTGTTTACGATCTTGAGAGTGAAATGACAGATTGCAGTATTGCAGCCTGTATTGTATTTACAGGGCTGGGTACTAGAAGCCATCCCCAAAACCCGAGAAGAGGCTCTGTGTCTTCAGGAGGCCGGCATTGCCCCAGAGCATGTTGGTCAGTGCTACACTTAAACTGAACAACTAAGAAGCCTGATAGCAATGTTCATTCTAGAAATTTAATTAGTTATCGCCAGAGAATGAAGCTGTCCTCTTTAAACTTAACATTTTAATGCTTATAAGTTATTACTTTATTTTTGCTAGACTGTTTAAGTATGTAACTATGTAATTACATCTTAATGACATAGTGACAATTTGCATCAATTTACATTAGTTAGCCTATTATTCAGTGACCACTATGAGTTATTAATTACTTACTGGGAAAGTAATATATAAGCTATGATAGTGAGGAATTAAGGTCTAGATCCACTGATGGGGCCTTAGAGAACTACATTTTTATGTATACTGCTCTATCTGTTTTGTCTCAGTGATACTGCAGGCACCTGATGCCGTCTTGATTGAAAGGAGTCTGGGCAAGAGGATAGACCCTGTCACAGGAGGTAATATCTGGATGATCACCACAGTTTTTCAGTGCAGAGAGCTGGGCTGAGAAACACACAACTAACCCACAGCCTTGATTTAAAATGCATTTCATGAACTGTAGACCTCAGCCATACAGAACCTGTTTGCTGAATCCCAACTATGGCAGCAGGTCCACTGGGTATAACAAAGCCGTGTTATAATGAACAAAAGCTCTTGCTCCCCACAGATTTGTTAAAGGGTGGATGCACTCTATCCATATAATTGCCATCTTCTCTTTTTCAGAATCAAAGTTTGACTGCTGTCTTAAGGTGCATTCACAGTTCTAATCAGTTTTGTCTCAGACTGTAAGATTTTATGCTGTACTTTGCATGTAGTTAGGGTGACAAGATGTCCCAAAATTCCCAGAATAGTGCCATATTTCAGTACGTATTCTGACTTATTCTCAAAAATTGTTTATCTGTTCCCTTTCTTTCACTATTTTCTTTGCTGGAGCAGTGGAGAGAATATTCATTCTGCACACTGATGCACATAATACCTTTTCTGCATTTCTGCGTAATTAAATCTTCGAGATGTAAAGAAAAGTCATTTAGATTGGTTTGATATGAAATAAAATGGTGCATCATGAAGAAACTTGCCAACTCTGATTTCGTTACAGTGGTGGTGATAGGAACCAGCAATTGTACTGTGTACTATGTAAATATATATTTTTATCTGTTTTATTTACTAGACCAAACAAACAGCAAAACTGCATGTGTCTTCTTTTTCTATTGCCACTGTCGGAATAAAACTTTTTTTTTTTACACAATCTACAAGCACCTGTTGTCATTTATACTGTGTCAATGTTTAATCACAATCAGATGTACAGAAATGGTCAAAAAGGGCTTAAAATGAAATCTTTTTAACCTTACATTAACAGTTAAGAGTTTTTTTTTTGTTTTTTTTTTCCTTTCTGTTTTTTTTAGGTACTATTTTGTTTTACAATGAACTGCATGTACCAGACTCTGTATTCAGAACCATTTTGTGTAGTAACTTTCTCTGATCTTGCAGACATCTGGTTTTTATCATCACCACTTTGAAGGAAGTCACCTTAAACCACTCTAAATTATTTTGTTTACATCGCTACATTTTTGTTACAAATTAATCATGCAGAAATTTAGAGAAATTGATAGAAGTCTTCATTAAGCAATGTAATGAATGGTAACAAAATATCTAAAGGATGATTATGGTTTTTGGAGGACTTTCAGAAAGAGTTTACATTTCTATGAAATGATCTCTCCGGTCCTGGCTGATCTGAAGGACGTTGTTAAAAGCTTTCCATTTCTATTTCTATGTCAGTGCAGTAGCCTGCTATTGTGGTCAGTACTTAACCATGTCTGATAAGAATGGGTCTGTACACCATCTCCCTAGTGTTGGACAAAAAATTATGTGGTCTAGTAAATGTTGATATACATAACCGCCAACATTCTCCTGACCATTCTGTTTTAGATTGGACCATAGAATATCTGGTCACCCTACTTATTATACTTACATTGCATATCTGAAATCTGCATCATCATCAACGTTCTAACTCCTTGTTTCCTTTATTGTGACTTCAGATGTGTATCATGTTACATTCATGTGGCCTGAGAGTGCAGAGGTGGCTCAGCGCCTTGAGAGGCCACAGGGCCTGATTTCGGAGGATGTAATATCCCGTCAGCTGCAGGCATACCACAGGGAAGCCCATGCTGTACAGCACACCTACCAGAGCTGCCTGAAGATCATTGATGCTGACCAACCCCATGTTGACGTGTTTGCGCAAGGTGAGCTGATTCACTACTGAAATTAAAAACAGCAAAAATGTGCATACTGTAGGTACAACAACACTAGTGCCTCTTGTTCTTCCTTGTACAATTGTACCACCAATGAGTTAGCTTAACTGGCTATTTAGATTAGATTTATTATAAATAAAAGATTGGGTTAGATGTATTCCTCTACATTTAACTGGGTTGGGGCAGGGAGAATGCTGCTTGCCTTATATTTGACTTCGAAGAACAAGTGTGCTTCTGCAAGCTGAAGACAAAAAGGCTGATTTTTACACTGGCGTGCTACTCTCCATCTTGGTTGTTTGATGCAAAGCACTTCATTGTAGTGGCTTATATCTCAGTCAGTCGCTCAGTCAGTCACTGACGTTTAGCAGGCTAAAAATTCTCCATGAGGGGGCGCCAATAGCTGTGACATAGCTTGTGATACTACGAAGGAGCAGAGGTTGCTTTTTTACCACTTTTGATAGTATCACATGTAAAATATGTTGATGGTTTAGGAAAAAAGGCATAGCATGAATACAGCCTAACTTTTCTCCTTACTGTTTGTTAGCATGTCCAGCTGGTCTCATTTGCCTTATTACAATAACAAACAAGGTACATCGACTGACAGAGAGCTTCTGTTATATGCAGACCTTTCTGTTAATGAGTAAAAAGTAATGCAGTAAAGTTAGCACTGTGTAAATGAGATCAAGATCACTGCTCCCCACTTGCTTTTGTTCAGTAACCACATTTAAAGTCTTCCACGTTTCACTAGCATACACTTTTACAACTCCCCATTCTCAGCGTACAGTACTTCCCCATTGTGCTGACCCAGTCTCTGGTCGCAGGTCAGCAGTACAGCCGCTCTGAGAGGCAGTGATTGGCCGAGCTGTCAGGCCAGCGGCTGGTTGGGGGACTTTGCCTCAGGCTGTGCTGCAGGCACCTGCCGTCCCGCGAGGACCCGCGGAACGATGTGCAGTCTTCACCAGAGCCATTAAAGCCAGCCCAGTACAACCTGTCTCAATATTACACCGCTCAACTTGACAAAATAATTCTGTCACTTTCTCCCTCCTTTTGTTGTGGGATAAGGAGAGCAGTGTCTGCTGAATATTTTAAATCTCCTTTGCATACATCATTTGACTGTAAAGTGTGGCTGGGTTTTTTGGAAGGGGGGTATGAAATAAGTGCTGCAGTTTCTGTCTGAATATGATTGCATGTTTGTTATTGTTCTATATAGTCAGTAAGGCTGCATCATATGGATCAATACTAGTGTTGCAATGATAGTAATATATGTCATTGAGATATGGCCTGCAATATTTTAAAACACATTGGAGACTCAATGTGCGATAATTAATAATGCTAATTTTTTTGACCTTAGAAATTTGCTTTTGTTGTGCCTTGATTAATCAGAACATCCACAGAAATACTTATTTGAACTGCAATGGGTTGCAGTGTTCATAGCACAGAAAAAAAAATATTGTTTTTGAGTTGAGAGCTTATTTGCAATGATTAATAAAAAATATATTATGCAGACCAGATGGTCTGAATTGGAACCCTGCTATTTCCTCCCTAAATCCTCAGAGTTGCATTTTTTTAGAATTTAGAAGGGATGCACTGATCTGGGTCAATGCCAATATCTGATTTTTTTTTGTTTTATTTTCATGTTGTATGGGCGTCAGAACAAGCATCCCAGAAAATGGACTTACATCTACCTGGATTAGCATTACGAATAATTATGCAACAGTTAGTTCCAACGACACAGTCTGATTGTTTGAGAAGCGTTTTTTTTCACAATAACTATCATTCTGCTGAGCACCAGTTGCTCGTTAACAGCTTGCTTTACACTTGCAGCTACAGTGCTCAGAATAACTTTGAATACAACTTACATCTTGTTTATTTATAACTTGCCATGATAAATGTATTATTTTTATAAATCTATCAGTTTATTCCTACCATCAGAAAAGTTACAACAACCAGCAAACCAAACCGAACTAACTGAAAACTTAAGTAAGGCAGGTAAAAGTACTGAAACATAAGCGGGACAAACAGTAGTGTCTTTGTCCTTGTTGTTACAGGTTGTAACATTTGAAATCTCTACTTTGAACATGCATGAATTGGGATCAGTGTCCCAACATTTGTTTTGAAATAAAATGGGGGATGGGTGTTAATGAAAGTTTTGTAGGTTGCTCTTGTTCAGTTAGACACAACGTTTTATTGATATGTCATAATATAGCTGAAATTATGTACTTTTGAATATGTTAAAGCACAATATCCACAATTCATTAACAAATTAAATAATTCTAAAAAACTAATTATGATAGAGTCCCGAAACTAGTTTAGTCAGATTCTGAAGAAGCTACATTGAATTGTAAGTGAGGTTTCTGGTCAGCTGATGAACGGCAGAACAAATAAACAAACTGGAATTGGTCTGAAACAAACAAAATACCATCCAACAAACAAGATGGGTTGCAAAATGCTTTCAAGTCTGGCTGGAACATTCAGATTAATCTGGCAAATACTGTAAAAGCTGAGCTAGACCTGATATTGTGACAGTTTTATGTGTCTATTCACAAAGCGTGAAGATACTTCTTTTCATGATAGAAGGAACTGCCAATATTAAAGCACATTTGTTACAATGTTCGGGGCTTCTTTACTTCACTTTTTTCTTTATTTTGTAGAGCTGTTGTATAAAAGCTGATGCCAGTATGAATCTGCAATCATCTGTACATCCCTAAAACTTAGTATCTCTTTACCTTAGAGATCTTAGAATAAAGAGCAGCACATTTATGAGAGAGCACCTACTTTAATGGCAGGTTTTCCAGAAAATGGTCTTAATTCATATTCATATTCATAGCCAACCATATACAGTGCAATGTGTGCTCATATTGCTGTTTCAGCCAGCATTAGCATATTAGTATTGCATTCAGATTGTCATGTAGAGTAGAGCAACGCTTCCACCCTTCTGTTAATGGTATAAAGATTCTAGCTTGATTTTTAAAATGCAAGGTTTGGACCACTGTGCTCTGCTCCCTCTATCTTTATTTAATCACACTCAGTTTGCTTGATTAAGTTAAACGGAGGAAATAAAACAAATATTTGGAGTCTTTCTCTGCTATAAAACATTCATGACTCCAGACTGAGCCGTAAACTGCAATAAAGCTGTCATCTTAAATATTGATTTTGGCTAATTTAGCATGCAGTTTGATTGCGACATTGCTAGCCTCCCCCTGCCGTCGCCTTTTAGCGCATTAACATGTTTTGCATATGAACCATTTATCACTGCTGTTGTCTTGCAATTAAAGCAGCACAAAGCGTTGGATGAGGGAGACTCATTAGTCACAATTAGGCCGTTGTTAATTAGCACACATTAGGCAAACAGCATTGTGAGTGAGGCCCAGCTGCTAACAGATGTTAGCCACGTGGCAGTATCACATGGCAGGTGAAAGGAAATATGGAATGATTTATTAATGATTTATTAATCAAGCTGCCTTATATGTGGATTATATTCAATCACTGTTAGCATTTGGTCTTTAAAAGGGAGACTCTCACTGCACCCACATAAGTGCTGTATTATCTATCTGCATTAAACATTTAACCAAGATCTCTGTGTTCTTTTTGCAGTATGAAACACTGAAGCCCAGTTTTAGGAATACAGTATGCTGGCTAAGGCTACAGGAGGACAAGTTCTAACAAAAGTAGTTTTGGTTTGCTCACTCTAGTGAGATTTCTTTAAACTTTCTAAACTTCTCTAACCTTAGAACTGATGTTATAAAAGCAGTACAGTGTGCATATAAAGACATCCTCAAAATTTGTATGCATATCATTTTTATTTCCACCTTTATAGATAACATTAGTAATCAGTGATGAGATAGTTGGCACTTTTAGGCACGCCATCTCTCACTTCTCTTTACTTTTTCATTTTTCTTAGCATTGACCCACTAGGCATGGATTTACATTGATTTGTGATTTTATCCGCTTGTCTAGCATCTTTCTTATTTCGCTAAATGAAAGGGATGTATCAATGTAACATATCAATAAAGATCAAATGAATGTTGCAGCATATTGTATCATGTTATATCATACAATGCTGAATGCTCTAGGTGGTTCCTGGTCCTGGAGGACCCCTTGCCCTGCACATTTTAGTGTTTTCCCTGCTTCTAACACAAAAGATCCCAATCAGTTTGCTTATTAACAAGCCCTTCCTGAGTTGAAGTGGGTGTGTTTTGGCAAGAGAACACAGAAATGTGCAGGGCAAGGGGTCCTCTAGGACCAGGGTCAGGAGCCACTGCTCTAACAAACTGGAAATTAAAACATTAGCATATTCATATAAGCTGTATTTTTAACTAGTCTTTGTTTTTGCTGCATCAAAAAATGTATCAAATCAGGACGCCACTGTTTCATATTGAGTCAGATTTTGTGAATCATTACACCCCTACTAATAAATTTGGCCAACGTTTTGGCTTTGTACTTTCATTTGCACTGTAATAGCAGAGGTTAACTTTTGTTAAAACTTTTGTTGTTGCTTGTTTGACCAACTATGCACATTTACCAACTTAAAACTCAAATTCGCAGACATCAGTTTGCTGTATGGGGAGTTGGGAAGTTTTGTTATGGGTGGTCTAAATTAGCTGCATCTAGCTGTATAAAAAGCTGCTTGTTTTTTCTACATATTGAAGTTGGATTAGATCAGTAGCTCTTCATTTATCAGCCCTAGTACATTAAAAAAAACATAAAACTGGCTCTAGTATGTGTTAAGAAAACAAATCATGTTTATATAAATCAATATTAATTGAATTGACCCATTTTTAAAATGTACTTGAAGCATTACAGTTCAAAGACTGTAATTATCCTCAGCATTAAATCAGCCAAAGTCAAAGGAGTCAAATAAGAGAGAATTAACCCCTTTAAAATCTCTGGCTTTTTACATACTAAGGCTTCAATGCAAATGGATTGAGCTATTGTGTTTTTACAAGTCTCATGAGTTTTCTACCTTATCACGACAAGCATACCCAAATAAATTAAGTCTGTTGTACTTAACTGGTTTGAGCTAGAGCAACCTTTTTGATGATTTCTTGTATTCAAAGATTTAAAAAAAAAGAAACATGTATTGTGGTTGGGCAAGTCAACTTTTCAGGATGTTTATGAAAATAATGGATGTTGTGTTCTTCAGGTGAAAGATAAAAAGGACCTTCCAGATTATTACCTGCGAAAAAGTTCACAAGCAAGGGTCATGGTATCTTGCACATCTTTGAAGGCACCATTATTGCTAAACACATTTGGAGTAACATATACTGAATTCTAGATGACATCTGTTTCTGGCATGTGGGTTATGTGTGACTTTAAAATAATCTAGCTTTAGCTCCTGCCCAAAAGCTATGCTGATTCTTTAGTCTCCAGGGCTCTGAGCATGTGCTCGGTAATCTGTCCTCAGTAAGTACTCTAATTACATGTGTAATGTGTGACCTGTATCATTAGGATGGTGGCACTGATATATTAACTACAATTAAGTTAAACGGCATTAACAGTTGATTATTGATTAGTTGCATTTGTTACGTGGCACAGTTGTTCATCATTTACCGGAAATACATTAGCTTTCCCAGAGCACAACTACCATATGCACATCAGGGAATATGCATCCCTCAACACATAGCCATGTCTACAGAGATATGTAAGCATAGACTGTATAAATCCTAACATTAATTCTTTTGCTGTCTGTGTCCTGCAGTGTTGACGTACGTTCTATCCAGGCACCGCTCTGCCGCACCTCACACTCCCAGAGTCATCCTGCTCGGACCGCCAGGATCTGGGAAAAGCCTGCAGGCCAGGCTTATTGCCCAGAAATACAACATTGTCAGCAGTGAGTTGGTGCACTAGGTTGTGCCTGTTGAAATCTAGCTATATTTGGCTAGTAAGGTTTCATTTGTTGTTTGTGCATGCAGAAAATAAAAAATGTACACACTTTTCCAGTTTCTTTGTTTAAGTTTTACTTTTTTTCCCCGATTTTCCTCACAATTCCTTCTGCTGGCATGTTGACTTTCATTACCTGTCCTTTCTTGCTGCCCTGGGCTGCAAGCTCAAGACCTATCCTTTCTTGTTCTGTCTTGAGACTTGCCTTAAAGGTCACACTGAACATTGTGCATTCTGTTTATTTAAAATTTAAAACTTTACTTTCTCTGTTTCTCCATTGCTCTCTCTTCCTCGCTGTCTGTTTCTCTCTTGCTGTTTTTCTGTTCTTCTTTTCTCTTGCTCTCTCTCTCTCTCTCTCTCTCTCTCTCTCTCTCTCTCTCTCTCTCTCTCTCTCTCTCTCTCTCTCTCTCTCTGTAGTTTGTTGTGGCGAGCTTCTGAAGGCAGTGGCAGCGGATGAGAGCAGTATGGGAGAGCTCATTAAACCCTTCCTGGAGTCAGGACGGCGAGGTAAACTTCCTCACCTCCTCACACTCGCACGCTGTCAAACAGGTCACGCACTGAGGAGAGCTGAAGCCTCGGTGTATGTGGCTTATTTAGAGTCCCCTGCCTCTGTTAGAAATTTCTGCTTTTGGCCAAATAATTAGACCACCCACGCCATGCGCATGTGGCCAATGAATACATTATGGTGTTTGCATATCTATATTTGTTGGTATGGTAAAAATAAGTGTACCTCATGTCATATTTCTCTGTTGTTATCACAGTACAGCTATCAGACAGGTGAGTGGTGAAGTACTACCGTTGTTATTACTTGTTCCTTACCTGCCATAGCTCAAGACTATAGAAAGAAAGCATTTTGATAACTGTTCACCCCTTGTTTATTGGTCGGCTGATCCCACGACTGATTATTTAGTACCTACTATGAGTTATCCTCTAAATACTATGAAACTAATATATAAAGTATGTAGTTAGAGACTTCTCACATACAGTCCCTTAGGGTTTTAGGGGTTAGGATTAATGGATATACTGTATATATAATGTATAAATTTACCTCAGAACTGAGTAAAAACAAATCTGTTCACTCTGAGCAGACCCAAATTTTTAACTTTTCTGTTCTTGCATTCCAACCACATTTTTTACATCAGTTGTGCATAGCCTCATACAATTAATCAGTAAATTTGGAAAGCTGTTAGATCCAGCACTTGTGTTTGTATCGAAGGACAAACACTATGGAATTTTCCTGTTTGTGAATCAGTTTCTCCAAAATATTGCTCTCAGATGGCCCATAACCATTTAGATATGGCTGTTATTTCAGCATACAGTTGTATGCAAACGTTTGGGCACCCTCAAGTCAAATTACATGTTTTTGCTGATTTTCTACATGTGTTTTCTACATATCTGCACATTTGAATGCACAGATACTGTTTATTTGCTGATACGTAATTTGCAGAAATGTTCTGTACTCAATTTTGTTCCCCGTAGAGGATGTATTAATTTACAACAAAACATGTAATCTGACTTTGGTGTTCAGACTTTTGCATATGACCATACAGCTTTAGGCAAATGTCAGAGATTGCTTTCATTTATTTAATTTCCAGTCAAAATGGCCATAAAGTACCAGTTTTTCATTTTTCAAGAGATACTTCCCAGAAAAGGAATATAATACAATTTGTGTAAGGAAGGAGAAAGTCAAAGGAAAATAAGTGGAAAAACTAGAGTAAAAAAACATTAAAACAAACAGAAAATAGGACTCCTAACAACTTTGCATGACCTGGTAGACTACCAAAACTGTCACCATCAGATAAATTTAAAATTTCAGGCCCATCCATTTACTATGAGAGGAAGACAACTTAACACAGTTTGCCTGAAAGGATGTGTAGCTGACAAGATATCCTTTACTGAAAAAAGGAAATAGACATAAGAAAATTTGCAAATCAAACAAAGAAGCTGCTGGTGTTCTCAGAACAATTGACTGGGCCACCCTAGAGTCCAGACTCAACATCACTCAATGTATTTGGGATTACTTGGATTGTGTGGAGCAGCTTCTAAGACTGAACCTTGGAGGTGTGGAAAAATATCCCTGCAGATTCCTTTTTAAAGGGCTGAAGTTTCCTAGAAGGAATGGAAGCTGTAATAGAGACAAAGTGTAAACACACTAAATACTGAAAAACATAACAACTGTTATGTTTAGTTATTGAGGCTTCAGTGTAATTTACTGTTGGATGGTATTTTTAGTTTGTATTCTTCAAACCAGTTTAAAGCCTTATTGTATGTATAGTGGGTCATATTCTAACTGCACTTACAAAAAATATTGCACATCAGTCCTCCGCTTAGTCATTCAGGTCCATATGCTTTTGCATATTTTTGTCAGTTGTTACACGTCCCTTGTCCGCAGCTCTCTACAAAGCCCTCAGCGTCCTCTCCTTGTGAAACCCCGGGGGGAAAATAATTCAATAAGGCGAGGTGTAAAACTGCCACGGCATCCCGTCTAAGTCAGGCCCTGTTAGCTTATCCAAACAGGCCCACCCCTCGCACTGCATCACAAGCTGCCAGGCCTGCCAATCACTGCCACTGATTGTCTAAACTTGCCTTGAGCAAAATGTGATTAATTTAATAAACATCCCCCGAGAATCGATGGACTACAAAGTGTATGTGTGTAAGTGTGTGTGTTTAATGAGACTGACACTCGAACGCAGCATCACAGAGGTGGGATCTCTCTGTGCTGAAGCTGCTTTAAGTTTACTCTGTCCTCAGTGTGGCCACGGAGACTGTGCAGAACACTGACAGCTGAACTTCCTACAGTTAGCTCTTCTCCAACTGTGCATGAACTGCCACAGAGATGAGCACTACCTTTGGCTTTGAGAAACACAATGGTGCCTCACATTTAATGAGCTTAGCTTGACTGTTTTGACAGATTATATCGAGGCTCTCGCACATTACACTCTTAAAAATAAAGGTTTCTAAGCGGTTTGTGGCTTGGACTTACAGTTGTAGGAAAAACCTTTATTAATAAAGAACCTTTGTGTTATGTGGTGGTTCTGCCTGCACATCGAATCATCTATTGAAAGGTTCTTTGGAGAACCAAAAGTGGTCACGAAGAAGCCTTTGTGGCACCATTGTTTTTAAATTGCCCTTATTATGGAAAACTGAATTTTCCTCGCTTTTTTGACAAAAAATGTAAATATTGTAATAAAGTATTGTAATAAAGTCTCCAAATGTTGCCAGTCCATACAGTTCATATGGAATCTAAACTGCCAAAACAGCTTCTTTTGAGTAAATTTTTTCACAAAAAGCAACTACTTTACACAAACCCACCTACTGCTTTTTGAATGCGACACAATGCAGAGCGGAGGTCATTTGACTACGTCAGTCTTAAAGGCACAGTAACAAAATCAGACTGTTTAATTCTAAATGATAAAGAGAGATTGGGAAATGGTCACGTAAGAATGAATTATGACAATTTTTAATTTTAATGAATTCATTTCACATCCTATTTACATACATGGATCCTATATGTAAATAGGATGTGAGTTTTTTTTATGAAACGAAAGGTGGTTTTTCAGTGGAATCGCTCCAAAGAACCCTTTATGGCACCTTTATTGTTAAACAACTGTTAAACATATCCAGTCCATACAGTCCATATAAAATCTAAGCTGCAAAAACTGCCTTTTTTTAAATTAATTGTTTTTGAGATCACAAAAGGAACTCCACCTATTCAGCCTGCACTAGTTTGGCCCCACTTGTTGTGTTGAAGAGATAAGGAGTGTTTCAGGCCATTGAAGAAGGCATAATACAGGGCAGCCAATCAGAATAGAGGTAATTTACATATGTCAGTCTCAAAGGTGCAGTAACACCTGTCTTATTCTAAGGGATAAAGAGGCTGGAAAAAAATCTGGTAAAAATGAAATAGTAAATCTAGGCAAGTGTCATATGCGGACCTCGAAAAAAATACAATATAGGCCTTTTAAAAGTGTAGTTGATCAATGCTGCAGTTAGTTGTGAAGAAATATGAGCTATCAGTTAAGTCTGATAGAGAGTAGAGATATGGAGCGCGGATGGGTGGATCAAAAAGAGCTTGAGAATTCAGGCTGAATCCCCATTGATCACTCTCTAGTGTATTCTCATGCTGCTAGTGTGATGCATATGGCTAACAGCTTGATTTGAGAGGAGCTACACTTCTCCCTCTGACCTGCATCAAAGGTTCGTTTTATCTCTCTATCTCGGCGCAGTGGTAAAGATGAAAGCCATTATGGTTTTGAGCTCTGTTATCCTTTATAGTATAGCTGAACTCCATAGGGCTGCTATGAGCCACCCATATTTATCGTTCTTCCTCACATACACAGTCTGAAGAAGTGGGGGGGCCTGATGCCTGATTGTTAGACCCCGATGGTGCATGTTGACTCTCCTAAACTGCTGTGGTGGTTGTCGGTACCAGATGTATTCATGAATTCCATGAATTCATGTTTGCATGTTTGTTGGGGGAAAAGAAAAGAATGCATAAGGAATGCAATGTAAATGTTGTGTTAGCTGGCACTCCCCTGCCTTGTTGAACTGTGCTGTTTTGTCCTAGGGGAGAGCTTTTGGGTTGTGTGCGAAGCCTGTGACTTCTCTCTCTTTCTGTCTCCTTCGCCAACCCCCCCCCCAACCCCCTTACGTTGTGACAGTGAAGGTTTCAGGCAGAGAAGCTTGCCTAAATAATTTAGGAGTTGATTAATGGGCTCGCTGGGGTATAATTAGGCGATGGAGAGACGGTGGCTAGTGGAACCAATACAGTGCTTTGGGGATTTAGGGAGCGGGATTATTAAGGAAATGAAAAAAAAACAGTCTTACGAGAAGAGAAGGAGGAGAAGGAAGAGAGGAGAGCAGCCCTCTCCAGGCTGCCTGCCGTTTGAAGCAGAGCCGGGGAGAGAGAGGCAAGAGGCTGCGAGCGTTTGATGTGGAAATTGGACAGTTTGAAACCGTCGACTTTAATTTTTCAGCATCCGCGGGGACCCCCCTGGGTGCGAGCTCACTTTCCTTAAAGAATGGCGTTCTATTTTTCCCCCTCACCCCCATTATTTGTTTGTCCTCGTCGCCTTCAGCTTTTCCTTCAGTTTTTTTCCATGTGCCGCCCTCGTCTTGTGAGCATTTTTTTCACATGTTAAGAAGTGTCTTCATCCCAGCTTTATATCAGTATCATCCCCTTAAACAATTCACTTATGTTGCCTGTCAGGCAGCTGTTGACTTCAGAGAGAAACCAGTGGAGTAGCTTCAAAAGACACAATGTACATACATGAATTTAAATGACAATATTCTGGCTAATTATTTACTGAATAAAATCCCATCAATATGCACACAAAAGGCATGTCCTCGATAATATTGGCTGATGATGAGATCAGTAATTCTTTGCACGCTGTATTCATCTTGTTTTGTTTCTCTTCAGACCATCCTCCTGTCTTATTTGTTCTTTTAATGGTGCACCCTCACATGTTCACAATACTCAAGATTTGTGACATGCCCCACACCTACACTGTCTGTTGAAAAGGATGATGCACTTGGTACATTGTTATCTCATCAGATGAAATTAACCTCCATTTTTTTCGTTCACAATGAGTTACAAAACCCAGATCAGTTTTTTCTCCGTCTTAATGTTTCTTGATTGTAAAGAGGTGATTGCTTTTTTCCACTTTTTCATCTGGTTAGGTGTCTTATTTTGTTTGTTTGTTACTTGTCAGGGAAGTAAACAAATACAAACTCTCATCAGTTTTCTTAGATCTTTAACCTTCTGCCCTGATGCAGTTCACTGAGAAATAGTGTAGATATAGAACTTCCAATCAAACAAAGTAGGTACGTGTGTATACAATCCTTGTGTGTTTACAGTATATGGAACAAATACTATATGGAACAAGGACACAGTGAGATGACAGCTTTGTGTTTGAACCTACTGAGACAGCGCATTCTCCTTTTAGATTATGCCTTCACTCTTTGTTTTGTACTTTTCATGTAATCATGAAAATGACTAGGAGAAGATAAATAAGAGATAATGAGATGACATCTTCTTCTCCCTTTAATGGTGTCTTAATGTTTCTGTTAAATTTCCTCAGTTCCAGACTCCATGGTGCTGCAGATCCTGACTGAGCGGCTGAGCAGGTTGGACTGTGTCACACGAGGCTGGGTCCTGCACAGCTTCCCACAAGATGTGGAGCAGGCCGAGGCGCTGCAGGAGTCAAACTTCAGCCCTAGCAGGTGCTCACTGTATATAGAGCTATACAATCAGCCAAGGTTTGAGTTTGGGAGACTGACTTAGTCGGGACGATATTTATATATGTATTTTATTTAGAATATGTATTTATTAAGTTCAATTATCTACTCTGCTGTCTGTTTGTTTTTTGTTATTCTTACAATGACCACCCTCCATGAACACACAGCAGGGTCAAAGACTTTCATTTTGATACAATAAAAAAACAATAGCAAAACTATTACCATGCATGACAACAATATTGTTTTCTATACTTTTTTATTTATACAATTTATGTTGGATTTTTAAATGTGGGCAATGTTAATTAATAATTCTCAATACTTTCTGACTTTAGGCAGTCACAGGCCTACTTGCATGGTCTATAATGTCCGCTCAGTGATATTAAATCATAATGTATTTTTGCTGGACAGGTGCCTCTTGTAGCAACAGATATGTAATGGTAATGCTGTCAGAAGTATTGCTTTCTTACCCATAGCTGAACAGGCTTGAGCTATAAACATTGTAATATGTTGGAAAAGCAGTGTTGCAGAACACTCCCAGATTGTACATTAGTTTCTCGCTTCTGGCTGTCTAGTGACAGTGGGTCTGATGGGCTTGATGTTGTTTGAGTGGGAGCCTACTCAGACTGTAATGAGTTTGGAAGATGAGCTGATCAACTTTCTGCTTATTTGCTACTAAAGCTCTTTTTATTTTATTGTGTAGTCTAACAGAAGAGATTCTTTTTTGTGAAATTTTCAGAAGCTACCCTAGAGCTAAAGCAGCTGATATGTAAGCACCTTGCAATGATAAAGTTAACTTAGAAAATCAGATACAAACACTTACTAACAACGGTGGTCACACTGATTTATTTCTAATGTATACAGAGGACTGGGCAAAAGTCACATTACCACTCAAAATGACCATTAAGTGTAAGTTATTCATTTTTATCAGAAAAAAGTAGAAAACCTTTTATATATTTTACAGAAAACTACACAAAAGCCCAAAACACTAAGCATAATATCAAATCTCTCAGTATTAAACTTGTCTGTTCTTGCCACTTTAACTTCATTCTTCTAATCTTAAAACCAACGAGTTACACCAGTGTCCTCCCAGCATAAGCTGTTCCCAGGGGAGTCACTGACATTATGTTGCCTTCAAAAAGACACTAACATTCATACTAACAGTTTCCAAACTGTGGGTTCGAAAATTATTAAACGATATAGATGAAGTGGGACTCCTGACAACCATGCCTGGAAGTGGTAGACCACCAAAACTGTCACCATTAGATAAACACTACCTAAAGCTTTCATCTTTGAGAGAGAGGAGAAAATCAAGCTCCACTCTTGCTTCACATCTGAGAAGCAAGTGTTTCTGTCCTTACACTGTGAGAAGATGCTCAATGCTGTGGGTCTGAAAGGATGTGTATCTGTCAAGAAGCTTTTACTGAGAATTGAACAAAAATGCACTAGTTCACTGAAACTGGTCAAGGTTTTATGGACTGATGATTATCCGTTTGTATGTGAAATTACTTGGATCGTGATAAGCCTACAAGGTAATCAACTTGTAAGACAAAAGTTTGTTTTTTATTTAGTTATTGAGGCTTCTGTGTAATCATCTGTTAGATATATGCTTTCTGCTTTTTTCCTTAAGGCTGAAAAATAAAAAAATATACCTAATAGCCATTCTGACTGGAAACTAAAGAAATGCAAGAGTAGTCTCTGATTTCTGCACAGTATTGTATTTGTCGAAGCAGATACCAATATGCACACATTAATAAAATGTAGAAGTTAGAAGTCCTCTAATAGCATTAGAGAAAAAATTCATATGTCCAATGCCAGTATGTAACAAGATTTAGAAAACCTTCTCTTTTTATTTAACATTTTGACTCTAAACGATAAAATGTCATAGATAAAGTACAACAGCAACAGTTATATGACAGATAACCCAAAGGAAACATTTGAAGGATGTGCTTGGTGTGGCTTCATCAGGCTTCTGTGATTTGTGCCTCTTCAATTATCCCAAATAGTGAGCGTAGCAGTATAAGGCTCAGATCTCTCACTCAGATTACTGGAGCTCAGCTATCCTAGAGGATCTGATAGCACTTGGTGATTGCGCGGCCTGTCCTCAGCATATGTCTGCTTTTACGGTTCCAGTTAGAGCCTCACAGTGAACTAAGGTCACTACTGACAGGTTTCGCCCCAGTTTAGGCCTCATATTGGACCAGGGCTAGGATCAGTACACTGACCTAGTCTGTTGTTCTTAATATTTGTACAGGAATAGATATGTGTGCTTGTTTTAGGTCATCTAGGATTACAACATCAACCATTCTAAACCACATACACTTCACCCGGAGAGTTACAGTAGGTGAGTAGTGAGTGAACTCTTGTTCGGGTAACGTCACTCACTTTGTCCTGTCTAAATCCCACATCAATTAGTCATCACATGCCTATCCTTCTTTATCTCACCTCTCTGATCTCCTGCCACTCACCTGCCTCGCCCATCAGAATACCATAAGCTTACAGCCCTCCTCTCTCAAATATTAACATTAAATTACCAATCCATACTTGATACAAACACCCTCCTCATTGTCTGTCTTTGTGCATCTCCACAATAGGCCTCCATTTACTCCACTAGCTGCCTCTGCCGCTTGGGCTAATGGCAGGAGACCTCATTTACATGGCATTAGCGTAATTGATTTGGGGGGCCGGCAGTTAGGCTGGCCATGAAACAATCAGGAGATAATGTTACTTGATGGGCCGATGATGGCCCGATGGCGGCGCTCTACCTGACAGCTTTATTAATTAACGGCTATCCAGTTACACAGGCTTTAGAGTAAATGAATAAGTCAGTCAGAGACGTGGCGCAGCGCCAAGCCGTGGGCATGTAATAGGTGCCACCGGCAAGCAGTGGGGAGGAGGGTAAGAGGGTAAGGAGCATGGTGGAGCATGGCAGAGCTGGCATGCCTGCTGGGTCGGAAGGATCTCTTTACCCATTTCCTGAAAGAGCTCCTGTAACAGGCCTCGCTGGAGTTGGTGCCTGTGTCAAGTGCCAGGCAAATGTTTAGCCTGTGCCACCGACTTGACCGCTGGAACTGAAGATGGATTGTTTGGTCTTAGGAACACTCCGGTCGAACGACTTTGTAATTAATAGCAAAAATAAACACTTGAAATGAGATCCTCGTTTCCAAAATGATACAGTTTAGAGCTGGATGATATATTGTTGATACTGAAATCTTGGTAATGGTGTTACACTATTTATATTTAGTTTATTCTGTAACTTAAAATAACTTAAAACTTAAATTCTGTTAAGTATGTAATTTGAAGTATGCTTCAGACTGTTTTGAATGAACAGCTGAAAGTATATAAAATATAAATACATTAAGTACATTACATATAAATCATATGTTTCCTGCCTGGAAATCACAAGCAGGGTTGGGAGAGTTACTTTAAAAATGTATTCTGTTACAGATTACTGATTACCTGTTAAAAATGTAATTGTAACCTATTCCAAAGAATTACTGTAATGTAATCGGATTACTTTCCATACTTCTGGATTGCTTATATTTTTAAACTTGTATAATTAAATAGATACAAGAGAAAAATAATGTCAACAAGACTTTTTCAACAAGAATTTAACTTAACACAAGGCAAACATGAAAACTGCACTGGTTTTTGAAACAGAATGATAATAGGTCACATAAATATTGACCCCCATGTAAACAATCACTCATCTCATTTTTTGCAAAATGTCCAAATCTAAGTGGAGCAATATATGGAAATATTTCAAACATCAATCAAAGATGATAAATAAAGATGCAAGTTTGCTTTTCAATGTAATCCGGCTGGTAGTCACCCTTTTTTTATAGTGTTCCTCCTGTAATCTGATCACTGTCCTTTTTTCCTTAACTGTAACAGAGTACAGTTACCTTTCTATGCTGATTATGTAATACTGTTACATGTATTCCATTACTACCCAAACCTGATTAAAAGTTATGCATTCTGGTCCTGCTGTTATTTGTGATGACAGCACGTTTTTTTATCACAACAACTGGCATTCCACTGAGCACTGAGTTTTGTAGGACTGTTGTATGAAAGCGGTAGAGCGCTTAAGGTCGTGTGTTATCACAGCCTGCAATCAAGTCACTCCTGTGATCTATTGCTAAGGCAAGATGCACTTTGGTCTAATTTTAAAAGATGCATAGAAGAACAAAACTTTCCAATCTAACAGTGTCACATTAGTAAGACATTATTTAAACATTTTCTTTATTTAGAAATTTAGAACCCCTTTGGTGCTTATAGAAATTGTTTTTAAAAGTGCTTTAAAGAACCATATAAGATATTCTCAATTTAACCAGTTAAAAATAATCTAAGCATTTGAATAGTTACAAAGTTTTTTCCAATAGGCATTCAAAGGGTTTTTAAGTTTGTCATTGTTGTATCAGTAACCATTGCCTTTACTAAAGAACCCTTGAAGAATCCCCTTTTTTAAGGACGTAGAATACAAAAACTCAAGAAGTATGGGTTCACTAACTTTATTAATGCACATCCAATTTTCATCTGATGCTCTGACAACATGATATATTTGGAAAATACTGTGATATCAAATTTCATAGATAATGGCTGCACTAACACCGTTTCCTGATACCTGCTTTCACAAACACTGCCATGGTGGTGACATGTAAGACTTTGACCTGTTACCAAAATGCATGTTCTCTATAAAAACCGGCACTGTTCTAAAGTAGTTAAAGGGATCTACAGTCAGATTGACATAGGATGCCCTTTTGTCATGTAAAAGAAGCCACCTGATCCTGGAAAAAAGACAAAAGAGGAAGAAGCGGGAAAGGGACCCTTACAGATAATCTTCCCCCATCAGATAATTGAGGATGGCCTTGCTCTAGTTTCCTCCTTTGCATAAGTGCCTGATTGCCTTTCAAAAGCTGATCGATCACTGGGAGCCCATGTGTACATGGAGTCTGCCTGACCTGGAGACATTTCAGTGTAGATGTTTTGGACCAATACAAATGGTCCAAAACTACTTGAAATAAAATCTTGTCACATTAACATACATTAAAGTCAAGACCATTTCCCCTATTGAAGTGAACCATTTTGAAAATATGAGAGTTTATTATGACATTTATAAAATTATATATAAATTGAGTCTGACTATCTAACTAACTAACAAACAATTATTTGTAGCAAGTTTCAAATGCAGTAAAATTACCAAAATACTGACATTTTAGTGTAATATCCCAGCGGAGACTAAACGTTCTGCTCTTCCAGAATACATTGTGTTAAGAGACATTGGTTTGAAAAATTAATCAAATCTAATCATCGGTCCAGTGCAGCTAATTTTTTTTTAGTTATCTGCTGATACAGATATAATTTCAATATCATCATGCATAAAACTACATTACTATCATTCATTTAATGTAGGCTTTCATTCAGTCTTCAAAAGATATATATACTCTGTGCTGACAGCCCCTTTACTTCTCATGGTTATAGATTGACCAACTGCTATATTTATACTACATATACTACTATATGTACAAAAAGTACATGAATTAGAAAATCAAAATTACTTGGGCTAAACTCAAGAAAATTATTTTTCTTTGAAGGGCCATTATCCCATATTTTTCCCCTTATGTCCATTTATGCCGTTTGTATGGTTTTATTTACCAATAACAGTATTGATTCATTTTTACATAATTATTTTCCAACCTCTCTTTATTCTGTGTAAATAAACATACTGTTTTTGTCACTGTGCCTTTGAGACTCATATATGTAAGTTCCCTCTGTTCTGATTGGCTGTCGTGTATTGTGCCTCTTTCAAGAAGCAGTCTGGGCTGAAGCACTCCTTATAACTTCAGTGTGAATTGGCAGGGCTGAACTGCTGTAGGCAGAATAGACGGATATATGTAAATGATTTTCTTTTTGTGACATTACAACAAAAATGTATTTATAATACATACACTTTGGTGTGAACGGTATGTTTTGAAACTTCAACAATGGTTACGTACTACATCACACTGTTTCATTACAAAATAGACAGGAAACCCATGGTTTCCCATGATACAGGATCTTTGAAGTGACCATTTTGGAAATACAAGGTTTTTCTAAATCACCCCCGATTTGCTTTTGATTTGATTAACTATGTTAAAATCCAGTTTATAACATGCCGAACTGTTACATGTAAAATATACACAGTGATAACGAACAAAACACAAGTCTCTCATTCTTAAAATAAAAATGCTGTAAATGGTCCTTGGCAGTGATGTCATAGAAGAACCACTTTTGATTCCACAAAGGACCCCTAAACAAGTGCTTATTTGAAAATGAAAACCAATGGATGGTTCTTTAAAAAACCTTTCTTTTTATAAAAGAGATGTGTGAGTAGGAACCACTTTTTTAAAACTGAAAGCATGTCTACATAATGAAAAGGTTTTATAATAATTAAATATTTTTCCTAGAGCAGACCAAAACCATTTAGGAACTTTATTTGTAAAGAGCAGAACCTATAAGGCATTTTCAAAGAAGAAACTGAAGTTAACCATGCAGTTTTCAATTGGTAATCTCTGCTGACAGCGTCTTTTGCAAGGAGAATCTCTGTTGATGGTGTAATTTAGTCCAAGACTGGGTGTAATCTGTGTCAGGGAAGAGGCCACTGGTGATTAAACAGAATTCTTGACCTTGACCCATAGCTAAGACCTCATATAATCATTATTTGGCGGTGTGCCAACGTGATGTGAGCGCTGCGTCCGTCACTGCTGTGTGTCGTGCCCGCCCCTCCCACCAGTCGTTAACTACACTCCAGTTTGGCCAGTCAGCAGCCTCTTACAGCCCTGACACGCTCGCAAACAATCAGAGTCTTTGGGAGCGCTGAAATATGCATGGCTATCCGTGACAGGCAGATAAAGCAGGGCAATTAGCCACGTAATCCTAGAGAACGCAGGCCAATCGCCTGCTCTCTTGCTCGCTCGCTCTCTCTCCCTCTCTCCCTCTCCCTCTCTTTCTCTTCCCCCTCTCTCTGTCTGTCTTCCTCCCTCTGTTGCTGCGCTCCTCTCTTGCTCTCTATTAGTTAAATGTATTTCATGTGTCCGCTCCCCATCAAATCAAGCAACACTTCCTCTAATTGGCTTATGAATTATACAGCAGGGGCCGCATTATAATTTAATCAGTGGTAAACATTGCCGGGGCCGCCTGTAAAGAATCTATCCCTCATTAATTTCTTAATTTGGGGAGATGGAAAAGGAGGGAAAGGAGGAAGAAGAGGTGGGGGGGGGGTGTATACAAAGACCTACTTGGATCACTTCAGCCCAGAGAGGATAGTTAAGAATAATAGGGTCAAAGGGAAGTATCCGCTTCGTCAAGTTGGAGAACATTCACTCAAAATGCACCAACACAACACAAACACATATTCTGACATCAGCACATAGGCATATTTATCATGTATGCTGTTTTGGATCATTTGTAGCAGCCCAGGACTGACAGATGCTTGTTAGCTGCCTTGTTATTTCGTCAGTCGTTTGTTTGAGAATATCAAGCTGTCATGTAAAGCAACATCCAGTGTAAATTGTACATCTCCCCCCACATCAAAACTGGAAAGATACACACCAGTGCAAGCCCTTCTCAGACACCCCCTCACCCAACCCCCTTTTTCTCCCCTACATTGATGAATATTTCATGAAGAAGCATTAATATTAATTCTAATAGCTTTGCAGAGTAGTTATTATTTCCTTTTTTAAGACAAATATTCATTAAAAATTAAGCAATGCCTTCCTTTTTCCTGAATTCCATGATTACACTCTGGCACACAGATGAGTATCAGGCCTCGAAAATGCATCAAACATGCTTTTGTTTCAGTTGAATACAGTGGTCAGTTGAAGCTCGGCGTGGTTAAAGGGATCCTTTGTCCATTCCACGAGGGGCCTACTATTTTACAGCATCCACAAGAGCCAGAAGGACAAAGGCATTTAAATATTTAATCAAACGCAGATCTCAAATCTCCTTCTCTCTCTCTCTCTCTCTCTCTCTCTCTCTCTCTATCTCTCTCTCTCTCTCTCTCTCTCTCTCTCTCTATCTCTCTCTCATTTTCTCTCGTTTTCCTTTCTTTCACCCCTCTAGAGAGGACTACCGCTCGCCACCCAATTTCTGCTGATCTTTTTCACGGCTGAAGCGGTCCAAACAACACGTCCTCGGTGGCTGTAAAAATTGCATGATGTTGTAGATGTTGTCACTGGAGGTTGCGGTTCTCTTGAGGCTTGGGATGTGTTTAAGGTCAGGAGGGATGGGTGTGGGCATGGCCAGCTGATTGGTTCTCGCCCACCTGATCACGCCATTAGGGCCACTTTGTGTCTGGACAGCGTGCAGCCAGAGGGACCCCTGGGTAGAGACCCCAACATTCCTGTGTTAAAGTACCTTCACACTCAGGAGAGCATCGCTTTTTTCCATTATCGGCTCATCATTTATTCAGTCCTGATAAGAGTGCGTCATGATTATTCCATACTTAACACTAAATGCACTTTGCAAAAATAATGGCAGTAATGGATGGATTTGCCTGTGGTTTTTCGCATGACCTCCCATTATTTTAAGCAGCACTAGCATAAAGGCATTGTTGTCTCCGGTTTCTTTGCAGAAGCACCGATAAAGAACTAATATCATTCATGACAGTCAGAAACTCCTATGCGCAAGATCAAGATCAGTGGTTCTTCAGAGTTTTCTGAAAAAATGAAGCTCAAAAAGATGAGTTTCAGATGGAAGATGTGTGCTGATGAAAGCTTCTCTTTTCTTTCAGAGTCTTCTTTTTGGAGATGACTGATGATGTTGCTGTTGAGCGGCTGACTCTCAGGGCCATTGATCCGGTGACTGGAGAAAGGTGAGAAATATCTTCGTTCACGTATTCATGTTCTTTAATTACAGGAATTCTTTTAGAACTCGTTTACTTTGGCTTTTTTTTTAACCCCTCCAGGTATCACTCTCTGTACAAGCCCACCCCAAGTGCGGAAGTGCATGCACGGTTGAGGTATAACCCCTGTGACTCAGAGGCTGAGGTTCAGAGGAGGCTGAAGGAGTACTGGACCCATGCATCTGCCCTACAGGGTTTCTACCCACAGGCTGTGCGAGTCAATGCTGACCAGGATCCACACACTGTGTTTGAGTGCCTGGAGAGCAGGCTGGTCGGCCGTCTTCCCAAAGTACTGCCTGACAGGGCCTAAGAGTGGGATATTTTAGTACATGTTTATAATGTGTTCAAACACATCAGATTCAGATGAAATAGGCTTAATTAATACTCTAGCATTTTTCAGCCTAATCGTCATCTGCTACATCTGTGTAGTGCAGTCGATTACCAAAGATTATAATTTAGATATGTTTTCATGTGCTTGGAAAAGAATAGAAAACTTGTGAGTCAAAAAAGTGAGTCAAAACACACTTATAGTAGGAGCAAATTAGCAATTACTTCAGCCAAAGTTGTTCAAAAGTTGATTCATGTAAGTCCGAGTCTTTGGCGTGCCAGTCCAAGTTGAGTCTCGGGTTTCTGGGGTGCATGTCCAAGTTAAGTCTCAAGTCCTTGGGGTGCAAATCCAAGTTTAATCTCGAGACTCTGGGGTGCAAGTGCGACTCCTGTCTTGGGTATCTGGGGTGTGAGTCTTCATTCTTTAGTGTAAAAGTTTGGATTTACTCTCAGTTTTAGTAGCAGACATTAAATTTTTCAAAATTAAACTTCTAATAAAATCCTGTCAGAGTTGACATGTCTTCAGATAACAAGCTTTTCATTTTAAAAAAAAACCTTCAGTCTGACAGACAGAACCGAACTGCTACACGTAAATGGAGTGTTTAGAGGACAGAGGCAAAAAAAACTTGAAACAGTTTCCATAGTTCATATAGCACGTGAGGTAGCTAGTTAGCTAGCAGCTAATCCATCTGAAACTTTAGTACATTTTAGACCACAGGATTGTGGTCTGTAATCACAGCTTTATGAAGATTAACAGTCTTTCTTGATCCCTTAAAGTGAAACAGGCTGAGTTCTGATTGGCTGCCCTGTATTGCATCTCATAAAAGCACTCAGAGCACTCAGAGCTGAAACACTCCCTAGAACTTTAATAAGAATGGGCGGGGTTGAACTGCTGTGGGCTGAATAGTTGAATATATGCAAAGGCTGTTTTTGCAGTTTGGTTTCTATATATGGACTGTGTCGACTGGGTAGTTATGGTATCTTTTGAAACTTTGACAATGTTTACATATTACTTCAAACTCCTTAATTTAAAAAAAAACCTGTGTGTTTCTTTTCTCAGGCTGAAATTTCACTATTCATAAGTCTCGAGTCATTCGAGGATGAATCCGAGTCGATTCACGAGTCAGTCAACATGTGACTCATGTACAACTTGAGTCTGAGTTGCTGACTCCAGCTCCCATCTTTGACTTCAGCCAATGAGTTTTCTGTCTTTTTACTAAGTACAAGGAAATGTATCAATGTTGTTGTCAGCATTGCTCAACCATATGTAATAGTTACACAAGAAGAGATTAGGTTGAAAAATGATGGAATAAAACCAAAAGCTATAGTGCTACAGACTGTAGCACAGCAGTCTCAGGTAATTAGATAATTCACATTTTACAAGTGCTCCTGATAAATAGATAAACTGATCCTGTTAATAAAAGTTTACGGAAGTTCCAATTTGGTGTTTTAGGTTTGTTTTTCATCTGTGCTGCTTTCACAGAGATTTATATTTACATGCAGCACACATACTTTTATAAATAGAGATACAGTGCCTCATGTATGTAACTCTTCACCCAAGACCTCTAAGGGGCAATTACATGCCTTTGCCCTAAGTTATACTACATATCAAGCAAAAGTGAATTAAACATCCGGCTCCTCTGTAGTTCCTCTGGTCGGTAATCACTCCTGGCTTGTTGACCCCAGCTGATCACAGGGGAGTACAGCGAACCAGCTAATTATACACGTGTTTAATTAATGTCGCAATAAAATGCAGCCTGTCCGGGCCCTTTGTCAGGGGTAGTATTAGTCGCGCTTCGGTAGCCTCATGCTAAGGAGCAAGAGCTGCTCTGATTATTAAGCCCTCTCTCCCCCGTCTCTCTTTCTCTCTCTCTTGTTCTCTCTCTCTTGTTCTTTCTCTCCCGTTCTCTCTCCACTCGCAGAGGTCACTGGATTGGCTCCCAAAGGGAAGGAAAGGAGTTAAGTGCACTGGTTAGAGAGACATGTTTAACAGCCTGGTTTTCAAACTCCCCTCAGATTCTGTGCCATGACAGGCAGACACTGACTTAATTATAGCTGATGAGGTCCAGAATATGAATCTCCTCTGCATACATAAACACAAGGATAAGGGGGTATATTCATTGGGTGAGTTAGTGGCAGAAGTGTGATGTGTTTTTTAATTAGACAGGCATTATGATCTCAGCTCCATCTCAGCACACAGCCTGTTTACTCTCCAAAGAAAGACCAAATTTGTTAGCACATATGTGAATCTTCCCGAATGAGAGGAACATTCTGGGAGAGGGAAAACAGTGTGGAGATTCTGATGAAATGAGCTTAACTAAATGAAGCCAAAAGCTGCGGTACAGATTTTTAGCACAGATGCCTGCAGTAGTTAGATGATTCCAAGTACAACTTCATTTTAATGCATTATCCATGTTTATTCCTTCATATTGTGTAATAAAATGTGTAAAAGGCTTGTCGGTCTCTTTCATTAAGCAGTGACATTTTTATTACTGTTTGTGCAAAATGATGTGAGCTTGTTCAAATATTGCTCCCAAAAGTGATATGAAGTACTTCTTACCTGAGATTAAATGTAATATGGCCTGAGAGTCTAAATACAGTTTAACTGTGTAAAACTACACAGGTTTTGTTGATTTTCTAGGTGAAAATAAGTTAACATGTCTGCACATTTTAATGCATAATTACTGTTTATTTGCTGAATTTAACATATTGGGTAAACACTTAAAATGAAATGTGGTCTGTCCAAACATTTTGGCACATTATGTATATATACAATTCAATATTTGATTTTTTTTTCAATATGTTAAACTGTATTGCGGTATGCAGTACCAGCTCATGAAACTACAAAAAAAAATGGCTTTCAATTTTCAGTGACTTCATCAGTGATAAATATACCATGTAACTTTCTTTAAATTTATGTACAGCAGAAACAAATTAAGTTGCAGGAAAAAGCATTAACATTTTATTTTCTTGCTACAATAAAACTCTTCACTTTTCAGTTAAAGCTCCTGATTACTATTCTTGCAGCATAGTACAAATTCAGTAATCTTGACTATATCAAGAAGTTGATATAAAAAAAAAAGCAGACATCAACAAAGTTCCCAGGCCATTGGAATTAAAGTAATTCTAAAACATCAAAGATCCACTACTATACTACAATACCAGAGTGAGGACAGAATTCTTTTCTGCATGATCTTGACTCTTTTTATGCCAAACCCACCATTTGTTTGTAGTTTTTCATTAATTTGTTTGTTTGTTTTTTCACCAATAAAGGTCTGTTTTTGTCTCATCTTACTTTAAAACCTGGTTCGAGTCAAAGTCCCACTTCTTTTTAGGGCTGCCAATGGCAACCTTAAGTACTAGCCTTAACTCTTTTACTGGCTGAAGCTGCTCAGAATTATAAAAATGTATTATAAAAAGATTTCTTTTAGCAGTTTTATTACAAGTTCAGGTTCTCATAAATGCATAGGCTTTCTTCTGACGTGTCTTCCATAGAGTTTGTTGTCATGGAGGTTGACTGATGGAGACTTGATCCCACAATGCAACGAAGTCCTGCAACTGTCCAACTATGATACTTAGAGAGAAAGTTTTACTCTTGAAACTTCTTCCTCGTTGTGTGTGAGGATAAAATACACTTGCGTTCTCTTCCAAGCAGGTTTATTACAGCTCCACAACTTCTTAACTGTTTCCCAAATAGTGCAGAGAGGTATTTCTAGATGTTAAACAATTTTGTAATAGCCATTGTTTGATTTATGAAGGCAAACAATGTTTTGTTACATTTAATTTGTGATGGATGATTGAGGGTGTTTTGTCTGTAATTGTAATTTTAAACATCAGTGAAACAGATTCAGAGGTGCTTCAGGAAGGTCAAATATGAAGGAAAACGTATTACATGTGTTTGTAATTATAATTGTATTACATGAGTTTTGAGATTTGAAAAAGGATAAAAAAATATTTTTTGTTTAAATTTAAATCTATTTTTTGCATCACTAAGAGGTTAACATTTTCTCAGATTTTCAGTGCAGACATTTTTTCATAGATTTGGCCCATATTTACCAAGACTGTCCATATTTCTAGATATTATTCCATATTGGGATCAGCAATCCTGAAGCTGAGCAAAAGGCCATGCAAACATTGAAACTGTTTTCTATGAAAGCATTTCATTGGAATTTACAGTTGATTTCATATAATGTGCAATTTACAAATTGTAGTTAATTGAACGTATGGTTACAAATAATAATATTATACTAAATCAAAGTTTTAAAATGATAATTAGAGCGTTTTATTTGAATATTTTGTGGACTTTTATTTTGACATGCACACAACCCGGAAAAACTCGTGTGCTGTTTGCAGAAGGAGAGAAACACGTGGGAATTTTCTGAGCTGATGCTGTGGTGAATTTCTCTAGATACGGTAATCAAACAGCTTAATAATGTTATCCGAACTGCAGGTTTATGTGTGCTGTTCTTCCTCTCTAGCAGTTTAAGTACACAGTTGTGTGCGAGGCTGAAGTCGGCTTCCTGTTTGACAGCTACTTGTTCGAAATTCCCCGTTCCACCTTAAATGTTGCAGCAGTTGCGTTCTGTCGCCTCAGACACCAGAATGGAACTCCTGCACCATTTAAGGTGGAACTAGAAAATTCGAATAAGAAGCTGGCAAGTAACAAGCTGACTTTAGCTTCTTCAGCTGCGTTTTTGCGTTGTGACATGTCAGTTTAAATACACTGCTGTAACTTGCTGCTTAACAGTTTGGCCTTTTAAGGTAATTTAATCTAGTTTAATCTCGAGTTCACTCAGTTAAGATCGTTTGTCAGAGTTTAATCTGAAGTTGTTGTTTCACCGTAGTTGGTGTCTCGTTCATTACCATGGCTGAGGGCGTGTTGATGCTCAACATCTCAGATCCTCCACCATCAATCCACCACACCTCCTCTCAGAAACAACACGGCTCACAGCACAGATGGACAGAGGTGAGTTCATCCTATAACCAGACTGTCAAAGTGTCCTGCAGACAAGCATTATTCCACCAGGTGAGGGTGGGCGATGTGGTTAAACATAGCTATGCATCACGATACTTGAAGACACATTCACTGTACACAATATGTATGACGATATTTAGTTTTTCTGGAGTTTGTGAACAAGTTTGAACGGACAAAATGCACCAGTGAAACTGTCACATTTAACAAAAGCCATTAAGTCCTACAATGATGTAAAGCTATAAAAATGTCCGGCACACGTTGGTGATTTCCCTACTCAAACACCTGATTCAAATCAGCACCTGATCATCTGGTATAATAGGTGTATTGGACAAGAGAATCACCAAACTGTGCTGGACACCTGCCCTCCAGTATCACAGTTCTCCACCTCTAGAGGCACTGATCCATGATATACGTATTCCCCACCTCTAGTGCCAAGTTCCTGCTTATCAGTGCAGTTCATACAGCTTGCTGTCTGTTCTTATGATACAGAAAAAGTCTGGGACTGGGAAAAGGAAGGCTTCGTTTGGCAATCCAGAGGACAACTCTGCTAAACAAAGGAAGACAAATACCAGTGATCAAGACCTAGACCCTAAGAATAACACAGCACGTAGACACCAGCCAGCATCCAAATCAACATTAAAACCAAAAGCATCTCCAAAGAAAGGACATGGAGAAGACAAGGGGCATGACAGACCTTTTATCAAGACATCGTCTCTCTTCCGAAACAACCCTGAGATCCCTGAGGTGGTCAGGTCGGTAAATAACCTTCTTAACTTTGTCTTATTTTGAAATGTGTCACTGCCTTTCAGTCAGTTTCTGAATTGTTTCTTATTGGGGGTTAATGTCAAATGAACACTTTTGTCTTGGCTCTTCTTTTAGCCCTGCTGTAACCCAGGTGAAGGAGAAGGTCTTCACTAGTAACTCATTTGAAGAGCTGGACCTGCATCCTCATTTGGTAAGATGGCTACAGTGCTTTCAAGTTTTGTTTTCCTCTTGACATTTTGCAAGTCTGTTTTTGAATTAAAGTGCATTTGACTAGAGCAAGGGAGCACAAGTTCGGTCCTGAAGAGCCACTGTCCAGCATAGTCTTGTAGAGCCACTGTCCAGCATAGACTCAAACGCATCCACTAAACGTGGCGCTGAACAGATGAGTTGAATCAGGTGTGGTTGGGCGGGGGAGTCCTTAAACTGTGCAAGACATCTGCCCTCCAGGATTACAGCTGTGTATCCCTGGACTAGACTGACATTATCTTGTGTACTTCCATGCGTCTGGCTTGCTCCACAGGTGGCGACACTCAATAAGGTGTTCAGTGTGACCAGTATGACCAGGTACAGGCGTAATGTCTACATCATTTAAATCAGTGTGTTAGCATCATGCCAGCTGTGTTTTTGCATTCTCACATTTTGCTGCATGTTTACAGTGTGCAGAAGGAGACCATCCCAGTTCTTATGTCAGGGAAAGATGCTGTTGTTCGGTCCCAAACAGGATCAGGTAATAATCAGATATTACAATTCGCAGAAATACTTTATGTTGATGCTTTAACCCATAAAAGTGGAGAGGTGCTTCCGTTGTGCTATTCCCTTGTAATTACATAATTATATATTTAATGACTGTGGGCTACACTATAAATTATTTTAACATTCTGTATTGGCTTTCATCAAACATGCATCGTAATAAAATATGTCCTCTCCTACTTACAAACACAAATGTGAATTTGATTAAATTTTAGAATCTGCGCTTCCAGATTTTTGAGCAATGAGCAAAATGAGAAATAATTAATTTTGAATTACAACCTGCATTTGTTATTGTTGATGATAGCTATGACTTCTAAGGGTTAAGTACTCATAAGTGATAGTCTAAACTCTAACAGCAGTGTTCTCAAAAATTCATGGTGCAGTAGCAGCTAACGTGTCCTGTCATTGGTTGTTTAGGTAAAACACTGGCTTACGGAATTCCTCTGGTCCAGTCCTTACAAGCTGTACAACCCAAAATAAAGGCAAGTGAGACCTGATTTCTAAGAATGAGCAATTTTTCTTTAAGTACAGTGTTTTGGTGTAGTTTTTGGGCTTCATTTTCTTGCTGCATTAAGAGCAACCGCTCTATTTCTGTTATTATGTATATGGTATTATATAAGTCAGAGACTACCCTTTTGTTTATTTAATTTCCAGTCAAAATGGCCATTCAGTGCAAGTTATTCATTTTTTAGTGTCAGGAAAAAAAGCAGAAAAGATTGATATTGACCAGAAAATCCATTTGGCATTTAATTTATCGACTCTTTACTTTTGTACTCACTACTGCCAGTAACTGTTAACTGTTCATAACTGTTAACTGTTCTATACTTCCAGTCTTCAAACCAATGAGTTATAGCATGTCCTCCCAACATAAACTGTTCCTAAAGGAGTTATTGACATTATGTTCCCCTTCAAAGAAGCACTAACATTCACACAAACAACTACCCAAACTCACCTTAGCTGCCTTTCAGATTTCTTTCTCATGTGCATCTGTAGTGGCTATAGAAGATACAGTGCTGTGAAAAAGTATTTGCCCCCTACCCGATTTCTTTTATTTTTGCTAATACGTCACATTTAAACGTTTCAGATCAACCAGCTAATTTATTATGAGCTAAAGACAACAAACACAAAATGCGGCTTTTAAATGATCATTCTGTTTATTGAAAATAAAGTTTTATTTAAAGCCTGTATCACCCCTGTGAAAAAGTAATTGCCACCTAACCTAATAATTGATTGTGCCACCCTTGGCAGTAACAACTGCAATCAAATGGTTGCGATGCCTTGTGAAGAGTCATTTACATTGTTGTGGAGGAACTGTGGTCCACTTTTCTTTGCAGAATTGTTTTAATTTGGCTGCATTTGAGGGTTTTCATGCATGAACTGCCTGTTTAAGGTCTTGCCACAGCATCTCAATGGAATTCAGTGCCATTCAGAGGTGGACTTGCTAGTGTGCTTCGGATCACTGTCCTGCTGCATAACTCGACTGCGCTTGAGCTTTAGGTCACGAACTGACTGGCAGACAATCTCCTTTGGGATTTTCTGATAGAGAGCAGATATGACAAGTCGTCCAGGTCCTATAGAAGCAAAGCAGCCCCAGACTCATCAGTCCACAGAATATTATCTTAAAACTCATGGGGGTCATCCAGATGTTTTTTGTCAGACAAGCTTTTGTGTTCTTTTTGGTCAGCCATGGTTTGCGCCTAGCAGCTTTCCCATGGATGCCATTTTTGCCCGGTGTCTTATTGTGGAATTGTGTACATTGACCTTAACTGAGGCAAGTGAGATCTGCAGTTCTTTAGATGTTCATTTGGGTTCTTTTGTGACCTCCTGGATGAGTTGTCACTGTTCTCTTGTTGAAATTTTGGTAGGCCAGCCACTTCTGGGAAGGTTCACCACTGTTCCAAGTTTTTTCCACTTGTGGATAATGGCAGCCAACTTCTAAGAGTGAACTTTGGAGGCGTGGAAAAAAAACTACCCCAGATTTTTTTGAAAAACTGAAAGCAAGTCTCATGAAAAGAATGGAAGCTGTAATAAAGCCAATGAGTGGACCCACTAAATATGGAACAGGCTTATATTTAATTGTGGAGGCTTCTGTGTAATTTTCTGTTTAATATGATTTCTGCTTTTTTCTGGCACTAAAATTGAATAACTGGTACTTGTTTTGACTGGAAATTTAAAAAAATGGAAGACTGGTCTCTCATTTTTGCACAGTACTGTAATCACACTGTAGTTTTGTGCCAGGTGTGAGTAGTTTGAATGTTGGATCTCAGTGAGGTGCAGAAAGCTTTGCTTTACTCTTCCTGTCTTGCTCTGTCTGATCATTTCCTCCTACATTTTAGAACAGTCTTAAATTAAAACTGAAAACCTGCTGTTATTCCTCAGTATGGAACAGCATCTGTTTGAGATTCAGATAGATGTTCAGCAGGGATTAGATAGAGACGATGTTGTCACATCAGATGTGTTCTTAAGAAACGTTTCATAGAAATCTACTGAGTGAATTAACAGAGCCGTTAGCTAGGGGATGTGTGCTGTCATACTGTCATTTTGCTATACTGATGGGTCCAGTGGGTGTTCTAGTGTTTTGTCGCTCCTGCTTGATTTAGTGCTCGTTAGATTTTATTTAACACATTTTTTTTATTATTATTTATTTGAACGCTATTTCAGAGATCAGATGGGCCGCTGGCTATAGTGATTGTACCTACGAGAGAGGTATGCAGTAAAAAATTATTTTACATTCTTGTTCCTGCTGTATAAGGATGCTTTGTGTTCATTATGTGATGCCTGATTACTTCTTTGAGCTGTCTGCTTTAACTTCTCATTCCTGTTCTTCCTCAGCTGGCCCAGCAGAGCTTTCAAATCTTCCAGAAGCTTTTAAAGGTAAAATTATATCTGATGACGTAATGATCCCATTACACACTGAAGAGAGTGGCTGTCTTGCTTCTTTTGCATACCATTTCAGGGGCTCACTGTTGCCCTTGAGTTGCTGATGTAGGCCTTCATACTCAAAATACAGTCGTATGCAAAAGTTTGGTCATCTGTGCTTAAATGCTGTTTTGTTATTTTCTATGTGAAATTAATGCACAATTATTGTTTATTTGCTAAATATAAAATATTGAGGAGAAAAAATAAAACAAAAAAATTGCCTATGCAAAAGTTATGGCACATTTTTAGATTTTATGTTTTTCCAATATTTCAAATTGAGCAAAAAAATAAATTTTACACATTTTTGCAATATTTGCAGAAATGTGTTTGTCCTTGTAGATAACATGAGATAAATAAATGAGATAATAAAGCCGTAACTGATCCAAAGGCAGTAAAACACATTTTTAAACCTTTTTAATTTTTTAAAGCACATAAACCAATGTATTTGAGAGTACTGGCTTGATTTCATTTGATTTGTGGTTGTAATGATGACAAACTAAAGCTATAATCTAAACGGCTGCATTATTATTTTCATGTTCCAATCTACATACTAGCACACTAAAAAGTATACAAAAATAGTGCATAGACCAATAGAGGTGCACTCATTCGTGTAGTAGGTGAAGTACAGAAGTGTGTGGTTTGAAACACAGTGTTACATCAGCCAGTGAGACGCGTTCAACAGCTCCAGTGGCTGATTATAGCTTTGCTGTGCTGAACATTAACTTCTCAGAAACAGTTAAACATCTCCAAGCAAAGGTTTGGGGTATTTGTTGATTAAGGATCATTTATTAAGGTAAATAAATATATTTATTGAGGTAAGCTGATGTTAGCTTTATATTTGCCAACTTTCAAAATTTGTTCGTTCAAGGCACCTCAGTATAGTTGCACCATTTAAAGTGGAACGGAAAATTCATGAGAAACTGGTGAATATGAAGTTGACAAGATTACTTTTTATGTGTGAGTTTATTATTTAAGAGCTTTGGCAGCTTTGGTGGGCACTTTTATTAGTTTTTATTAAATGTCACGCACTGGAATGTTCTGAACTCTGGAGATGTGCAGGCTATACAGATCCAGTCCACCAATCTAACAAATCTTCGTCTCTTAGCGTTTGCTTGGTTTTTATTCACTTGCAGGGCTGTAGCTGCAGTAACGGTGATGAGACGAGCTCTATTATAGCACAGTCAGAGTCACAGCTTGCCTTCCAAAATGGCGACGTGGTCTTCCGAATGACTTAAATGAACACTATGACTATCTTAAGTTCAGTTCTCTATAGAGGATTTTTACTTAGAAAATCAACAGAACCTTTGCATACAACTGTATTTGCCTTAACTGTGGAAACCCTTTCACATTCTATTTGTTGTGATTTTAAAAGCTAACAACTGTGGAAAAATGATTGGAGACGGTTTCAAAAATTGCCATCAGGCGATTATTTCATAATTATGACAGGCTTACTATCTGATATCTGACAGCATTTTCTGTTAATATCGGCCCAACACCGATACTCCGTATTAGATTGGTGCCATTTCTAGTGTTGCCAGTTGATTTGATTTTCCCAAACCAGTTTGCCCTGTTTTTATTTGTCTCTGGTTCTCCTCATTTTGCAGCCCTTCACATGGATTGTACCTGGAGTCCTGATGGGAGGAGAAAAGAGAAAATCAGAGAAAGCCAGGCAAGAGCAACATACTGAACCTCTTTTTCAGAAAGAATTCAGCTCTTCAGTATAAGAATGATCAAAATAACTGAATATCCATTTATCCAGTGGAAGATTAGTGTTTTAGTGATCTGAACGTTAACATGGTGAAGTTCGTTGTATTTTTCTGTGATTGTGTTTCAGATTGCGGAAGGGAATAAACATTCTGATCTCCACCCCAGGCAGGCTGGTGGACCACATCAAGAATACTCTTAGTATTGTGTTCAGTGCTGTTCGCTGGCTCGTTCTGGATGAGGCAGACAGGTCTGTGTGTGATAGAGTGACAGTATCTCATTTATGATTTATGTATGTATGTTTTATTTTAGAGGTAACAGTTCCTGGAAGCATCTGTTCTTTGGTTTTCATAGGACTCTGGACATGGGTTTTGAGAAGGATCTGACTGTAATACTGAATGCACTGAATGCTGCTGGACCTGCTAGGCAGAACGTGCTGCTGTCTGCCACTCTCACTGAGGGTAAGCCTGGCCGTTAGAAGCAGGAGTTGAGGATCAGAGTTCTCTCTGTCAAACTGCCTCACTGTCAAGCACCTTTAAACCTGTTCTTCCCTGTCACTGTAGTAGAATGGACATCTGCCTTCACCTTTAGTTTCTTAGCTAATAACACAGCTAACCTTTGAGATTTTTAGAGTAAAAGTCAACTAATCTTAAAATTTGCTTGCACTAGAGATTTCACAATCCAGTTTTTTGGACCCCAGAAGTCATGTTGAGTATTGGCCGATTACGATCATGCATCCCAGCGGGCTGCAGTGGTAGTGCAAGGGGGCCACGGCAGTAATTGCTATAATAGACGTTTTTTATTTTATTTATATACAATTTCACAGTACATAGACATTTAACCAAAAGAAATTTTAAATATGACATTTTTTGCAAAAAATAGAACATCTTATTTAGGTCAACCTCATTTATTAGTCTGGCAAAATGCTAGCTATGGTTAGATTTTCAGTGCAAAGCAAAACGTTTCTCTTTCCATTTGTATAAAATTCACCCATCCTGGATAAATAGTCACAGACAGAGTCTTTCAAAAAGAAAGATCCTGAGGCTGGACCACCTACAAATGAAACAGCCACCTTATCTGAGACTGAGAAGAACGAAAATGAAGCTTAAGGGAAAATACCTGAGTGAGTGATGAGCCTTATTGTGCTACAAAAACAAACATACAGGCAGAATGTCTTCAGGTGACAAAGATCTCCTATGCTCCTCACAAAACAAGCAGATGATGACACTGAATGGGCTTCTTTTGAATTTAGAAAAGTAAAAAGAGCACAGAGAGTTTCACCACCTCATTCAGGAGTGGGAACTTTATGAGAGCTTTCAGATACAGCTCTATAACTCAGTTTGAGCTCAGTTTATCTGTGTTTGGAGATGCTAACAGCATCTGTGAAGAAGCAGAAGGCAAATGAATCGTCTGATTTTGGTCAAAAAGTTGCTGGGATACTTCTGCTCTATCAGCTTGGCTGTTGTCAAGCCAACAGCAGAGATGACTGATTGGTCAGTAAGTTTAGGTTGCTTTCAAAAAGTTTGCAAAAATCTAACAGAGCATGAGTAAAATAATGTTGGTTGTGTGTTTGGTTTGCAGGATATTATCAGTTCTACACACTCAGATTAATTTACTGTTGTCCAAGAAAGCTACACGAATAAATTGCTTTCAGTGTGTAAAGGCCTTTAGGCAACTGCCGCTCTGTGCTGTAGCTCAGACGTCTTTTTAAATTAAGCTTTGAAGCCAAACAGATGAAGCCGTCAATTGGAAGCTGAACAGAAAGAGACGTCCTTTCGCAACTTTCATTTCTGTCATCTAGCACTTGGTTGTCAAACATACATACATACATGTCTGATTCCTGGCCATGTGGCCTTAATGAGAACACTCAGATCAGTGGCTTTTTTTTCACTGCGCAGGTGCCATTGTTCAGCGTTAACCTGACAGCAGTGCCTAACTTGAAGTTAGAGCCAGTAAATGTTACAAAAGCAATGCATCGGACCCTTTTTCGGCTTCATCTTGTTCTAATAATGAACAGCTAAGAGCTGCTCGGACTAATTATCATCAAAACAAGGGCTTGTTCTTCTGCTTAGTTTGTTTGTTGTTTATGAGTTAGGGCATCCCTTGTTTGCATTTTAATTGGAGACTTTCATTCTGCCATGCAGAATATTTTTATTACACATTTAAGTGTAGCCAGCTACTGTTAAACATGGCAATTAGGTTTTTAAGTGATGTATTCAATTTGAAATTTAAAGTTTGTTTTACTTTGTTTTAAGTTTTTATGATGAACTCACACACCACCTTCATCTTCAGTACTCTGTATTGAAACTTTACCAGAAACACTGATATGTGTGAACAGTTTTCTACATTAAATAGGGCTGTATTATACTCACTAGCTGTGGTCTGAATATAATTTGCAGAGAATGTGCAGTTTTAGTTTTAATTCTCTTGGAAAATTGAAGAAAAACATGTGATTGCAAAAATTAAGAAATAAATGACTTCCTTTAGTCAAATGACAATCTTTAGTCAGTCAAGAATGTTTGTTGACTTGAAGGGCACAACCCTGATCTTCACACTGTTGAAACCTTTCCTCACTGATCCTTTTTTTCTTCTCCAGGGCTGTCGCGGTTAGCCAGCATTAGTATGACTGACCCAGTGTACATCCAGGTCTCAGATGTGGATGGGAGTTTGAAGGCAGCAGAGCCCTCTCCCCAAACTGCCATACAATCTTCTGCTCCCCAGCCTGACCTGACCGACAGCTACGCTATTCCTGACAAGCTACAGCAGCATGTGGTGGTGGTGCCCAGTAAACTGCGCCTAGTCTGCCTCGCTGCATTTATACTGGCCAAGTGTAAGGTAATTACCAAAATGACCCCTCAGGAATTTAGTGGTAATCAGTATTGATCCTGCTGATTTCCAGATGTCATGTAGATTTGCTGTGGGGTCCAGTGTTTTTATATTGTGTAGTCTACCTAAAAATATGGGTGAGACATGAACAGCAGGTGTGACCTCAAATAGTCTGTGGAATGATGCAAGTGGGAGCCTTTTTTGGAAGCAAGTTAACAGGTCCAAGTATGCGAGAGATGAATGTGTCCATTGCTTATAATGTAGACCATGAAAAATTCAGTTCTTTAATGGACACAATAAAGAGGTAAAAGTTTGGAGGCAAGGTTTTTAACTTCTCTCATGGTTCTTGTCAGTTTGAGAAAAGTCAGAAGCTCATCGTCTTCGTGTCCAGCTGTGAAGCAGTGGAGTTCCTGGTCACGCTCCTCTCTACTGTTTTGTGTGGCAAACCCAGCACCACATCCAAACACCAGCCACCAGTCAACTTCCTCCGGCTCCATGGCAACATGCAACAAGAGGTGAGATGTCTTATGTCTACAAATGTGCAGCACGCGAGCTGTCTTACTAGAGCTGTACAGACAGAATCTCATGTTAAATCTTTCATGTTAAAACTAAGGATAGATGGATTGTTTGCTGGCCAGAACACTCTTAGGGTGCTTTCACACCTACTTTGTTTGGTAGCAAAAAAAGCAGGTGTGAAAGGTGGCTCGGGCCACGCTCTGAACCAAAGGACCAGAATTTGGTCCGACCAAAAGAGGTGGTCTCGATCTGGCCCAAACTGATCCATAGTTTGGTTAATTTGCGGTGTGAAAACTTTTTTGGATGGTTTGGACTTTTGGACCAATTACAGGAAGTTAAGGCAGGCTACTGGCACTCATTAAACAATAGAAAAAGAAAAAGAACAGGGAGAGAAGTAAAAATGAGCGGCGGTAGCACACGGAGAGAAGGGATGAAACATTTAACTGTAATTTGGTCTGACGAGAAAGTCAAAAGTCAACTTCAAAAATAACATAAAAATGGCGAAACTTTATTTTGTAAAAAGATGAGAGGGAGAGAGGTTGTGATAGGATGGGAGAGCAGTCCCCTCTGAAAATAAAGAAACTGCAGCAGCAGTATATAAAGATAGTATACTGGCAATAAAATTAATCCATTCATTCATTTTTCTCCATTCAAACGGAAAAGGCTACTCATCGAACTGTCAACACGCCAACGTCAGACTTGCGCTCTTCCACACACCAGTCAGTGTCAAGTTTAGGAAGACTTCAGCCCACGTATGTGATGATGACAGGACCTAGGTTTGTCTTGCACAGTTCTTTAGTACACTCGCAAAATTGCGATGTGAAACAAAAACTTACCGGATCAAATGTATCCAGTGTAGCATGAGCCTTGGTCTGGACTTTCAGGTGTGAAAACACCTTATTTATTCTCACAGGTGAATGCAGTGGAGAGCATAACAGCTAGCAATCTAGAGCAGCAGGAAAACCATTTGAACCGCACCAGGTGATTAAAACTGACATTAGCGCACAAAGCTGGAGACTTTCTCATTCGATAGTTTCTTATTCAAATGTTTTGTTTCACCTTAAATGGTGCAGGTGTCGGAGTATAATTGCTGCACCGTTTAAGGTGGAACAAAAAGCTGTCAAATAGATAAACTGACTTCAGCCTAGTTATTATTGCCTCAAATTAGAGCTCTAGAACAGGCCGGTAGGAATGGAGTCTTGACAGCCCCACCTCTTCATTGTCATGGGGGTTGATATCTTTGCAGTATGACCATGACAGTAAAAGGACCATTTGATCGACATGAAAAAGTCTAACGATAAAGCTCTGTTTTTTGTGTGATGTGCAGGAAAATTATCTTGCTCTTTTTAGATGCGCTGCTTCCGCACGCTACTGATGATTTGCTGTTTCCCATCAGACTGATGAAACCTGATGCACTGAAGCACATGCTTTCATAAAAATGGGTAAAAGTCCCAGTTATTCGAATTGCATTCCTTTTTGAATATTTTAGTCATCTCATTTTGTCATATATTCATTGGCGCCCTGCTTAAAACCATTAGGGCCTGTTTCCCAGACACTGATTAAGCCTAAACTTTATCTTAATGGAATTTGCAGTACAACATTGGTGTTAATCCAAGACTAGGCTCTAGATATTTTCTTATTATTCCTTACTTTAAAGGAATACTCCAGCGTTTTTCCAGCCTAATCTAATATCTGTGAATCTAGGCATGTAACAGTACAACATATTGTATTGTATCACATTGTATATTGGAGCTGGTTTATTATCTTGTGGCTAAAGCATTAGATTAGGATGCTATAAAGCACAGCTTTTGTTTCAAGTGTTGTACTTTTATATTATTTAATGATCTAATAAAATGAAAATGGAAACATTAACAAGTTAGTGTGAGGCATTAGATTGAAATGCTATAAAGCACAGCTTTTGTTTCAAGTATTGTCATTTTATTTAATGATCTAATAAACTGAAAATGGAAGCATTAACAAGTTAATGTAAGGCATATAATTTAAATGTAAAAGCTTTATTTTTGTTGTATCAAATCGAGACACCAGCATTCACATACAGCAAATTAGAGTTTTGTGTGGGACTGTTTTTTCAGGCCTGCTCCTGCAAGATTAAGCTTGCTCCCACAGAAAGTTGGAATCATTTGTCCCACTCCACCATTTATTCCCAGTAAACACAAAGCAAGAATTAAACCACAGAGAGGTTATTTTTGGTATTTTGCTGGACTCGGCAGCTGTGGCCATCGGACCGAAGGCTCCACCGTCTCTGTAAGCTATGAGAATTCGCATGTTGTTCATCTGACCGATTGCTGCGATATTCATTGATCTGCGGGTTTTCTCTTCATGCATTCTTCGTCCCTATCCCGCCCGCAGTGGCTGTTTACCTGCCCGCTCCCGCACACAATACTGAAAATTAGTCCCATGACACAAAATGTTGTGGTGGGTCCCACGGTCCAGCTGGAGCAGTGCTGACCTCTACCACAAACCACCAGGCTATTTCTTTAACACACAATGTCAACATTCAGTCTTTAAAACTACTTAGCTTAGTCTTGTGATAAAACCAGTTTGGAGAGTCTCTTCTCAGAGTGATAGTTATGAACCCTTTATATCTATGTATTTGTATGTTCCCCAGCTGCATTGCTCAATGATGCCACAGCCTAAACGGATGATTGTTTGCTGTCTAGTCAGGGTCAGGTTGACTAGGACCAGCTGGTGGAGTGGCAGCAACAGTCGGGTGCCCCGTGGCAGTGCCAGGGGACGCACACACACGGGCCACCCTGCCCAGGTCCCAGCCCTCACCCCCCCACGCTAATGGACGTGGCCTGGACTGCCCATATGGCCCGAGCAGGCCAGCGGGCTCAGGAGGGCCCTGGCGCTCGAGGCCTTCCTGCCCGTCCCTCCTAAGATATTAACGAGAGCGGCTCCAGCAGCCAAGGCAGCCGGCAGCGTTATGGATGGGTTTGGTAATGGGACAGCACAGGCCGGGCGCTGGCCGTCTCCTCCGATGAGGAGAGCTGCAGGAGACGCACAGCTGTTCCAGCATACACAACAGATTGTGCTCCACACTGAGAGAGAGAGAGTGAGAGGCAGAGAAAGAGATGTGCTGTCTGTCTCTGTTGTTGGCTGGGCAGTCATCCATGGCACTGCTACTTCCTCTTTGTTCCTGTAGGAAGAAGTTAGCTAGCATGTCTGCATAGATGCAGCAGGTATCATCTTTCTCTCGTTCCTGAAAGTGCAGAATTCTCCTCTAGTTAAACCTGAGTTCATGTCATACAGATCATTCCAGGTGACAGTTTAGTTTTTATTGGGCCTTTTTTACAGACCCAGATTATTCTGAAGCTTGTACTAAAGAATTTCCAATGGCTATCGGTCATTGTCACTGCAGTTTAGACCAAGACTAGGGTTGATTGATGAGAAACCGACCCACTGTCTTTTTGTTTATTTTATGCCGCTATTATAGCATAACCCAGTGACTTGTATAATATTACACAAAGACACAAACCTTATAAAGACAGGGAACTTCATTCACTGAAAACTCAACATTGGAATATATGAGTAAATGAAATTTGAAAATTATACACCATATAGATAAAAGTATTGGAACACCCGCACGTTACAAGTAAGGGAGCTTTCATGGCATCCCATTCTAAATCCATAGGCATTAATATGGAGTTGGTCCCCCCCTTTGCAGCTATTACAGCTTCCATTCTTCTGGGAAGATTTCTACATGATTTTGGAGTGTGTCTGTGGGAATTTTTGGCCGTTCATCCAGAAGAGCATTCGTGAGGTCAGACACTGATGTTGGACGAGAGGGTCTGGCTCGCAGTCTCCGTTCTAGTTCATCTAAAAGGTGCTCAGTGGAGTTGAGGTCAGGGCTCTGTGCAGGCCAGTCAAGTTCCTCCACACCAGACTCACCCAACTAAGCCTTAATGGACCTTGCTTTGTGCACTGGGGCTCAGTCATGCTGGAACAGAAAAGGTTCCCAAAAAGTTGGAAACATACAGTTGTCCAAAATGTCTTGGTTTGCTGAAGCATTAAGATTTCCCTTCACTGGAACTAAGGGGCCGAGGGCAACCCCTGAAAAACAACCCCATAGCATTATCCCTCCTCCACCAAACTTAACAGTTGGCACAATGCAGTGAGACAGGTAACATTCTCCTGGCATTAACCGAACCCAGACTCGTCTGTCAGACTGCCAGATAGAGAAGCATGATTTGTCACTCCACAGAATGTGTTTTCACTGCTCTGCTGAGTCCAGTGACGGTGTGCTTTTACCACTCCATCCGCTGCTTGGTCATTTAAGGCTTGCATGCAGCTGCTCGGCCATGGAAGCCCCTGCCATGAAGCTCCCGTTGCACAGTTTTTGTGCTGATGTTGATGCCAGAAGAGGTTTGGAATTCTGCAGTTACTAAGTCTGTAGAGCGTTGGCGACTTTTATGCTCTATGCGCCTCAGCACTCGGCGATGCGCTCTGTAACTTTACATGGTCTGGCGCTTCATGGCTGAGTTGCTGTGATTCCTAAACGCTTCCACTTTTCAATAATACCACTCACAGTGGAGTAAGGAATATAAAGGAGGGAAGAAATTTCGCAAACTGACTTGTTGCAACGGTGGTAACCTATTACAGTACCACGCTCAAATTCAGGGAGCTCTTTAGAACGACCCATTCTTGCACAAATGTTTGTAAAATGCATGGCTAGGTGTTTTATTTTGTACACCTGTGGCAATGGGACTGAATGAAACACCTGAATTCAATGATTAAGAGGTCTGTCCCAGTACTTTTGTCCAAATAGTGTAGGTGCAAATAATTAGAGAGATTATATAGTCATATTGTATTTTATACATAAACTTCAATTTCTTGTTAGCTACATTAGCTATAAAGCTCCAGTGCAAAACTAAAGAAACAAACTTAGGGACACCAAACATGAGTAAGGGGAAAATGACAAAAACTGGCTGAACTAATATGCTGACATTAAGCAGCAAAGGACCTCATGTTCAGTTGTTTATTTGCCACTTGTCACTCAGCTGCAAAGTCCTATGATTTACAGATGAAAGTGCAACTAAGTCGGGACAGTAGATAAAATGCAAAAATAACGTAAAGCCATGATTTATAATGTCTACTTTGACCCGTATTTGAACAAAGCCAGTAGAAAGACGTAGATATGTACTGTTTTAATTCATCAACTTCATTGTTTTTTGTGTATAATTAGAGAGTATGCTGTGATATCTAACACTTGTGAAAAACGGCCACTGTCAGCTCAAATAAATGTGGTCAGCTTGAATGATTCATTCAGTAATTACAGTGTTAATGTAATAAATGTGCTAGGCCTCACGTCAGGTCCATTTCTGCATGCCCTTAGAACAGGTTAATGCCAGTTCTGATGAGTCATAGCGTTACACAGTGTAGTGTTGCTCCTGCTTCTTTTCAATTTTAACACATCTGTTTCAGCTCATCAACCAATTGTTAAGCCTTTCATGAGACAGGAGGAAAAAACTAAGTTGTGCTCTCAAGGACTACATTTGAGTCATGTGACCTTATGAAAAGGCATTTTGAACCGTCTACCCTTTAAGGCAGAAGGCTGTATTGTCATACAGCAGTGCATACTGATCTTGAGTGTTGTTTTCTGAACAGGAGCGGATGGAGGTGTTTCAGGAGTTCTCCCAGAGTAAGACTGGTGTCCTGCTGTGTACGGTGAGTCTGTAAAGCAAGAGACACTGTTTCCTGTTCACTACTTTGTAATGCAAGTGTTGTGTATGGTAATTCTCTCATTTTAATAAAATGTTGTTGATTTGTCTTTTGCACTGCGCTTGTCAGCACTTACTGTACCTTGTAGCTTTTGCCCTGCACTGAAGGTTCCTCTCTTACCTTTTTGGACCATCTTTCACTGTTGTTAAAATGGAAAGTCATTTAGCACTTGCATTAAAGATGGCTACTGTTTTAGCTACATGTTTGGATTGTACCTGCTTCACAAAGTAAATCACTTTGGATAAAAGCATCAAATGTAACAAATGCATTGAGTGAACAAAAGGGTGCCACAGAGGACAGAGAGACCTTAACTATAACTCTTCTTTCTCTTTTCTCTCCTCTCTATTGCTCTCTTGCTCTCTTTCCGTCTCTTTTTTTCTCTCTCATCCTCTCAGTCTTTTATGCTCATTCTCTTTCTGTATTGCTCTTTCTTGCTATGTTCTTATTTTCTCACCCTTTCTGTTCTTTTCCTTTTTGTTTTATCCCCTCTCCTCTCTATCTTGTTGTCTTTCTGTCTCTTTCTGTTTCTTTCTTTATTTTCTCTCTCTCTCTCTCTCTCTCTCTCTCTCTCTCTGTGTACCCCCCTGGCCCAGCTGTTGGCTGTAGGGCCATAAGGGGAGGTCCTGAGGGAGGGAGTTCTGTGTTAGCTCTGGCGGCCATGCAGCGTCTCTCCAGGCTGAAGCTGCCAGGCCTGGCCTGCTCTCCTCAGCCGCAGCAGAGCAGTCTCCCTGCATGTGAAAGGTCTTAGTGACTGGTGCCCACTGACTGTCTGCCAGGCTTTGTATTCGCTCACTGAACCACATATGCTTACTGCTCTCAGAGGGACTCACTGCTGTCCCTGTCCTGAGCCTTTTAACCTCACAGGCCAGGATTTGAGTGTTTTACTGGAACCTGGCAAATTGAAATGTTCAGCCAGTTATTGGCAATTGGAATTAAACATAAACTTTACTGAGATTTCCTGTCGATAAATAACTTACTTAGAAAGTCTTTCGTCTTTAGGGAAATTTGTGAGTGTTGTGAACACTCTGAACCCTAGGCTTATTACTCTGTTTTTAATCTGAAAGGACTCATATCCTGCATTTTTGTTGTATATTTTTATGTCATGTTACTTGTGTGGTTTTATGTACCAAAAGCACAACCATTTTGGAGCCTCTCGCAACCTTTTTACAACGCTGTTTTTAAAAAAAGTTGCTGTGCAAAATGTAAATGAAAGCAGAATGCAATAATGTGCGAATCATTTAAATCCTATATGTACCTGAGCATAGTGTGAAGATAACATGGTGGTCAGGTGTTGAAACTGAGAATTTTATTGTTTTTTTGAAAAATATATGCTCACTTTAAATTTGATGCCAGCAGCGCATTTCAAAAAAGTTGGGATGGGGGCATGTTTACCACTGTATTACATCACCTTTTCTTTTAAGCTTTGTAAGCATTTGGGAACTGAGGAGACCAACTGCTGTAGTTTTGAAAGTGAAAGGTTTTCCCATTCTTGCTTGATATAGGATTTCAGCTGGTCAACAGTTCGGGGTCTCCTTTGTCATATTTTTCATTTCATGACGTGTTTTCAATGAGTGACCTGTCTAGACTGCAGGCAGGCCAGTTTAGCACCCGGACACTTTCACTACGGAGTTTGGTGCACATTTGGTCCTCAGCGGTTAAAGGGGTTAAACATTAAAAAGAGGACTTTTCATTCTCTTCATTGTCAGTGCATACTGTTGTGAGTAGTTTGATGCTTCTACTGAAGAGGAAAAAATAATCAATAAGAAGGAATAAAATGTGATTTTGAATTTTGAATGGAGATGCTCACCAAAATAAAGGATTTCAGTAAAAGGATATTAAATATTTTATGATAAAATATTACATAAATATGAGAAGACAGAAAAGTTAGTGGCAGCTGTCCCTGGCTCTGTCTGTAGTCCCGTCGTTTTGTAACATTATTCCCTGAATAAATGAGTCATTTTAATGGCACTGACAGACTGGCCTGGCCCTGCACTGGCCTCCATCTGCACTCCGCTCCAGAGGAGCAGTGGACCCCAGGCAGCTCTGAGCTCTGCCCAGCCAGGGCTTATCCCGACTGGGCCGCAGGACCAGGAGAGGGAGGGGTGCTGGCCCAGAGTGCCATGCTGCAGCCTCTCTCTCTTCCAGCAGTTATTAATAAAGAGCTTATCTTGGCTGGGCACCACAAATCTGTAAGGGATAAAGGAGAGAAATCAAGAGAGTAAACAGTCTTTGTTTAGAGATGGATTTATTTTCTGTCACGCTGCCTGTGCTGTTCTGTGTTTGTTGGTGGCTGTTTGAAACTGCCTCAGGAGAAGGTGTCATGTTATGCATTTTTCTTCTGTTAACGTATTGTTTGTGTTTTCCTTTTGTAAAGGACGTGGCAGCACGTGGGTTGGATCTTCCTCAGGTCACGTGGATAATACAGGTGCAGTGTCTTCCAAATACCCTCAGACTTTTCAAGTCACCTATAACTAAGAGTGAAACGATACACATTCAGATTCAGAAGTATTTTTGTTCTGAAGTCAACATTTGATTTGAAATATTTAATGTGTTAAAATACCTTAATTCTTCAGTGCTCCAGTTATATACTGCACAGATTTGCATAGAATAATACAAATGTTATGTCATAACAAGGTCTCAAATTATACATTATATGGCAAGTCTCAATTTTCAACCTCAGAAAACTGAAAAATCAACATCATGTCACAAAAACATCATGATTGTAGATTTTGCACAATTGTTCAACAGTTACACTGTGTAGTATTTGTTAAGGTACTGTTAAGGTAATGTTAAACATACTCCCACTGATGCATTGCACATCAAAATGTTTTGGGATCACCAGTTGCTGCTGTGTTGTTATAATGTTGTCTACTTTTTGTTTTGCCTGTTTGTGAATTATTGTTCATACTTGTAAACATCAGCTATGGCAGTAGATGAAAATCAGGCTAAATCTGTCATATTTACATAAGATACTGAGTGTATTGTACCTATTATATAAACAAATCAAGTAAAGTATGTTGTGTGTTATGTTGTCTCACATGTTGCATTTCTGTTGCAGTATAATCCTCCCACTTCCGCTGCAGAATATGTGCATCGTGTGGGCCGAACGGCACGCATTGGAGCTAAGGGCAGTGGTCTCCTTTTTCTTACACCTTCTGAGACCACCTATATAGATGTCCTGGCCAAGCACAACATCAGGTCTGTGGATTGATTGCTTTATCCCGATTCCGGTCCTAAAGGGCTGGAGTCCAGCACAGGTTCATGGCTGCTCAGACATACCTTAATTCTAATTCCATTCCAAACTTTTTTCAATTTTTGCACACACACACACACAAGCCTTATTCAGCATGCTCTGATGAAGCCAATTTTCAGAAGTTAACAAGCAGTTTAAACATCTAAAGTGATATGAAGAATTAAATTATTTTAAAATGGGAAATGAAAACAGTGCCAGTGTTGCAACTGTGGTTAATCTAGCCTTTTATCCAAACAAGATCAAATTAGCTAAGCATATAATATGAGCATGTGGGTATATGCTTCAAGTCTATTTTTGCTGCTTGCTCTGAGTGGCATGCTACTTAAAGCATGTACAAAAACTCAAAACTGGTGTGGGGAAAAAAAAAAAAAAAGAATCTTGACTTTAATGTAGTTGAAGTATGCATTATGTGGCTGTTTTACCCCTGAAGATGCAAGTTTGGGATTGGATGTGTTATCAGCAGACACCCACTATTAAAGGATGTGAATCAGGATAAGGGAAAACAAACTGGGATATTGGGACATCCTTACCAAACTGGCTTATGGCCCTCCAAGACTGGAGCTGGACCCAATCTTATAGCTAGTCTCAAACACAGGAATTCGTGGTTAAGATTAATGTGGCATAAGTGGACAGAGAGATGCTGTCATATGTAATGGAAGGTGGTCAGACTTCTGTTGTCTCCTTTCCAAAGCCCACAGTATGGCAGCGAGCAGCAGTGAGCTAGGCTGATGGATCTTCCATGATATCCACACTGGCAGCCGTTGAACGGAGCCCATGAGAGCCATCACACACACTCTCGCTCTCACTGCGTGAATGGAGAAACCACAAAGACAGAATGGATCTGCTGCTGGAAGCCCTGCAGCCACAGCACTCCATCTTAGATTACAGATCATTACAGATTACAGAAACCTTCAGTCTCCAGAGGGAAGCAATAGATGGATGTAGGGGAGGAATAAAGTCTTCAAACTTTAATGCCCATGTTATGTTAGTTTGTAATGAGTTGCTGTAGGGGAAAATATTGTAACGTCTGGGGTCATCAGTAGGGCTGTTTCTTGAAGTTGAATACTTTTATGGTACCGATTGGATTACTTCAGTACTACTGAATATCAAAAACATTAACATTATTTTAAAGTCTTATCAGTGTCAATGAGTCAATATATGTTGTATATACATTAATAATGTCAACTTTTGTAATTTTGTAATGTCAGTTTGTAATTTTAAAATGGTGTCGGGTATAGAGTATAGCTCAGGAAGTGGTGTTGAAGCTGAAGGTATCACTATCAAAAAAATTGGAATGATACCCAGCCATAGTCATCAGTTTCCACAGTAGTCTGTTCATTAGAGATTCAAGATATATAAGTGAGATGTATTTTCACCAGTACGTAGAAAAATGTAATCATCATAACTGATAATTACAGTCAATGGCTGGGTACTCCATTTCTGCTTTTGCACACATTGATACATGTATAGTTACTAGTAAAAGGGCCTTTTTAGAAATTTACCCATGGATCATTCACTGAATTGGACAGCATAGTGCAGGGGTTTTTAACCTTTTCCACCCCAAGGCCCAGCTGTTTATAAATATAACGCATAGCGAATTTTTATGTTTAAGCTTAGCTATTAAATGGGGTCCAGCTCCAGTCTTGGAGGGCCATAGTCTAGTTTGGTAGGGATGTCCAAATGTCCCAGTTTGTTTTTCCTTATCCTGATCTAAGTCCTTTCATAGTGGGTGTCTGCTGATAACACGTCCAATCCCAAACTTGTATTTTCAAGGATAACACAGCCACATACTGCACACTTCAAGTACATTAAAGTCAAATTTCTTTTGCTTTTACACGAGCAAGCAGCAAAAAAACAGACTGAAGCATAAAGCCACATACTCACGTTGATGCTTAGCTAATTTCATGTTTTGATGAAAGGCTAGCTTAACCACAGTTGCGGTACTGGCACTGTTTTCATTTCCCACTTTAATGTAATTGAAAGCTTCATACCACTTTAGATGTTTAAACTGCTTGTTAACTTCTGAAAAATGTGTATAAAAATATACAACATAGATTTTGGACTGTGATTTGGTGCTGCCTCCACTGCATTTTCAGTGAAAATACTGCACTGGCTCTTCCACAAGAGTATTTGTTTGGTCTTGAGATTTTAGCGCCTCATCTGAAATAGCCAAATCACAGTCCACTCACTGGGCTTTTGGATTAGTGCTGTCACAACCCACAATAATAAACCTTACTTCATATCTGCTCTTTTGTCACTGGTTTATCACGGAGTTTAACCACTCAGGTCGCTGATACATGGTCAAAAATAATTGGTAAAATCAGACACGGATCTTTGCTATTATTTTGTAGCTTGATTGTCATTATTTATAGCCTGCATTATGCCAGAGCCAGACGTTAAAACAGGCAGATCATGCTGACAGTACAGTGCTGACATGCTGCTAGAAGAAAAGGTAATGCAGGCTCAGTTGATGAATCCCCTTGTTTCATCATAAAATTCATTCCCACCAGCAGTGAACTGAACCAGGGTTTGTTTAGAAGCAGACCGAGACCCACAAGTTTTTGCCGGACCGGTTCAGCTGTCTGTTGCAGACCCGAGGATGGGTGGAGTGTTCACACATGTCATAATGGAGCGAACTAAAGAAAAAGTTTGATGGGTCCACACCAAACGACGTAGGTGTGAAAGCACCCTTAGAAACTTCTCCAACTGTGGCTAGCTAGCTGTTTGCATCGCGCGCACCTCGGCTGCATTGTTTCATTAGCCTAGTAATGCGACGTATTATTTGTTCATCTCTTGATATTTATATTGGTTATAATTTGATATTTAATTATTAATTATCTTTATGATTCAAAGTGACATTACTGGCCCACTAGAAACTACTTCCTCCCCCTGAGTACAGGCCTGCGGACCACTAGAGAATATTTCACGGCCTACTGGTGGTCCACAGCCCGCAGGTTGAGAGATTGAATGGTCTACTTCTAATGTTACATTTAACTATCATTGTACGCGGCTCTGAATAAAGACAACAAAGTGCTGTACAATAAAATCAAGGAATTTCAAACAGAAAAAGACAAAGGAAAAATAATACATTAAATAAATAAATAAATAATTAAAATGGATTAAATTATACAACAACAAAATACAGGTGACAAGATGAGAAGGAGCAACAAAACACACTTCTGTAGGACTTGATTAGGCTCACAGTGTCTTGTCTGAGACGATTTCATAAAAAGGATAAGCTGTTCTATAATTTAAGGGCTGCCACAGACAAAGCTCTGCCTTCTGTATCACAGCTACGTGAATTTAATCAGTGATTCCCTTAATATATGGCTTATAGCGTGAATTTTTTTTAAATGGGAAAAATGTAAAATTATCAGATATTTATATCAGCAAAAAAGAAAAATGATCAGATATTTATTTCACCATCAGCTACAAAAAAAGCATTTTTTACTAAGTCTAGTCTGTTTCTAAGTCTGTTCTGCCAGCCTGACCTTTACTCTCTGTGTTCCAGCCTCCATGAGATGAAGATGGACGACATCTTGTCCACTCTGAAGCAGGACGAGCGGTTCAAAGGCAGGGGGAAATGGGACAGTAGGGTAATTTTGACTCCCTGTAGCTCTTGGCGACTCATGCTGCTCTTCTTGGCTGTGTGCAAATCTACTTGGCCAGGTTTTCTATGGAACACACCCAACACATTTGGCTTGAATTATTTAAATTGAATTCTGGACATATAAGGTATATATAGCACATTAATAGTGTAACATGGTGCTGTTTCGAAAGCCTTCCTCTGTTCACAACCTCTTTCACAATGAGGGCCTAAACACAATAGTGAGAGAAGGCCTCGGCCAGCTCCCAGGCACTCTTAATCCTCATTTAATTTCCTCTTCCCTGCCGTTACCAATTGGCTGCTTCTGCTAATACCCCCTGTGGGCACTTGTCAGCTGGGAGGTCAGAGGTCGGGGGACTGAGGGGGAGGTGTCTCAAAATACAGTGTGTTTAACACATGCCTTATTATTATTTTTCAGTTTGACAAGTACACCTCATTGGAAAACTGTTTATTTGATTAAATTTGATCCTGACTGAAAAATACTTGGTTAATGTGCAGTATGTTTACTTCTGTATAACAAAGACTATTGTTTAAGAAAATAATCTCATGAATTAGGAAAATAGCCTCATTACCGCTTCAGACAAAAAACTAATGAATCTTATTTTAAGTCTTTTGTTTCTTTATAGCTTGTGTTTGTGTTTGTATGTCTGGTCAGAGATCTGCAGGTGCGCGAGAGCAGGAGGTGCGAGAGAGGGCCACGGTTTTACAGACAGACTTTGAGAACTATGTCCATGGCAGTGCAGAGTCAGTGCAGGCTGCTAAGAAAGGTAGGTTTAGTCTGATCTGCACAGATACAGAACTGGTGTTCAGGCCAAGCAAGGGCCATACTGAATATTAAATGGAATTTGCTGTGGTGTTATGCACAGATTCAACTCAGTTTAGCTCAAGTATGAAAGACTAACTGGTGAAAAGACAGGGTAAACTGTACTCTGATGTGCTTCTAGCAGTAAGAATGATTTCAGGCCTGCAGGGCCTTTGTCAGGAACATGCAAACATGCCGTTTTTCTATGCAAATAACATATTACCACTGGAGGCATATACCAGTATGTAAACGTGCCATTTTTTTCAGACATACAAACTAAAAAAAAAATTCTTATTGGAAAAACAGAGATTTCCAAAACTAAGGTAGAAGCTCCAGCAGTGAGACAGGGTTTGTTATCATTTATTGCATGTTGCCTATTAATGCTCTGGATGCGTAACCAAATTTGAATTATATACTGATCTATATTTGGGAAAAGAGAGATCTGAAAGGTAATCTATGAAAAATAGACAAAATCTAAAATTGGTATAAAGGAAAAAGGGCTGAGAAATTCACTCACAAGTCCTAATTAACCAGAAAAATGTTGATCATTTATTCGGTTCAATATTACTCATTTGTGTTCCTTTCAAGCTCTTATGTTCGTTTAACTCTCACCGCTCATCTGCTCTGAATCCTGTGTTTATCTTGTTTACCGTCCTTCAGCCCTGCAGTCGTTTGTAAGAGCATATACGGCGTACCCCTCCGCTCTCAAACACATCTTCCACATCCGTAACCTCCACCTGGGTCACGCTGCCAAGAGCTTCGGCCTGAGGGACGCGCCCCAGGGTCTGTCCGCTGCCACGGCTAACAGCAAGGAGAAGAAAAAGGGCAAAGGAAAAGACATTAAGAGGTATGGTGTTAGGATTTGTATTTTGTCTTTGCTGTATAGTCTGAGCATAAGCACAAGGTTTTTTTTTAATATGCGTATTCAATTAAAGGATTACATTCCATTAAGCTCTAAAAGCAGCACGAGCTGTATTTTACTGTTATAGTTTTTTTACCAGTTATTGTAAGAGATTTCCCTCTTTGCTCATCCTTATCTGTCTGCATGCAAATGCAGTCTGTATTTTCCTCGTCAGCTCTTTAAAATTAGACCCTGCAGTTTTTGCCTTTTTTACTGGATTTAATTTTCTTAAACAAGCATTAGTAATTTAGGCATTTCTCCTTATGATCATATTTGATGTCCTGTGTTAATTACCTCTTCTAAATTATTACCTTATCCACATTTTTATATTTTCATTATTACAAGTCTTTTATTTTCAATTATTCAACACTACAAGATTGAGAAAATGAATGTACTTTATCGTTTAGTTTCTTTTGGCCACATTTGTTCCTCAGAGACGGAGCAGAGCTCTGTGCCAGAAGACAAGCAGGCTTGGCAGCTGCATATCTTTCCCCATCCTGGGGCCGCAGAAGGTCAAAAAAGAGTAGTCAAGTCCTGGCCTTTACCTGCTCTGTTCTTTCCCTGCCTCCTTTTTGGCAGACGTTACACTTCTCTCGTTCCTCTCGCTCCTGCGTTTAACGCTTGGCGGGCCAGTAGGAGCTGCTTTTTGGCATAAGCAGTGTGGTTCTGGCCAAACTCTGTCTTTGCTGACACACCTATTGCTAGTTTATTGGAAAGAGATGAACTTATGGTGCATTCGGACGTCTTTGAGAACTTGTGAAGTCAGAAAATTGTCTTGTTGGCCAAAGCTTAACTCCACATCACCAGTTTCTTTTATTTTGTTTTTGTTTTTTGGGTTTTTTGTTGAAACAGAGGTCCAAACTGACTTTCATCTATTGACTGAAATACCTTCCTTCTTTTTTCATCCATGAATTTAAGTCTAAACCTTATGTAAGACAGTGTCTTGTCAAAGGTTGAATATTGTGTTGGATATTTGGTATAAAATTACCAACTGCTACATGTAGGGTTGTTGTGGTGACATTTTCATGGTATGATTATCTAGCCATTTTTATGGTTTGAAGATATTACAGTATTAAGCAGTCATTTTAATTACTATGAATATAGTTGTATGCGTTGTATTTGCAACTTTGTTAGATGTTCAGCTTCACTGGGAATAAATCACTAATTCACACATTTGTGAGTTTATGAGGACCGTCGGAAACCAGCAAAAGCCTGGACTTTACGAAGTAGTTTGATCAAGACCCCTGACTGGAAGTTCTAAAACTTGGATTAATTAGGTTTATGGAGAGTAAAGGTGTCTTGAGCTTGGCTTGGTCAGAGAAAGGAGGTCATTTCGGAGTACAGGTGGTGCATGAAGATGAAGGCTAATGGGCAGATGTATCCGATCTGTTGTGCGTGGACATTGCAGCATGGTTGCTAGGCAGAAGCTGTGAGATTTGGCCACTGCTGGACGCTGCAGGGTTATTAGTGGTCATCAGAATGGCCTCCCACAGGATCCATAACATACAAGCTGCAACCTGAGTCTGGTTAGCTGGGCCACGTCCAGACTGGTCCCGGAGTGTGTGTGCACGTGTGTGTGGTCAGTCTTCTCTGCAGGGTGCGTTATATCTCACTCTAGCAAGGCAAAGTGGACGAAGTGGTGTGTGTTTGTTTTTAGAACTTTGCGATGACCAAAAGTGATCAGTTGGGATTAAATGTCTTCATAATGATGGACATGACTTTTGTAGAAGTCACAACATTTTTGTCTGAAATCATGCTGTTGATATCAAGCAAAACAAGAGCCAAAAGGTTGTCTTTTGGTCAGTGAGGTAAAGCATACAGTATTGTGCAATAGTTAGAGTTTTGAATTACCATTTAAAAAAAATCCATTAAGAACAAGTTATTCGTTTTTCATGATCAGGGAAAGAAAACAGAAAATATGTGTTTTGTAGAAAATTACACCGAAGCATCACAGGAACTACATGTCATCGCTGTCATCTCAGTTTTTGTCAATTTTAACTTTTCTGCATCATTTAAACACAGCAGCTGTCTTTTACGTTGTGTGAAAATTTCATGTAAAGTTACTGTTTTGGAGATGCTTGTTTTTCTTTGGATAGCATAAAATATTAGTACATCTTTCAGTATCTAGTGTGTCCATCCTTTGTCTTTATTACAGCTTCCATTCTTTTTGGAGGACTTGCTTTCACACCAACATACCTGTGTCTGTTTGAGCTTCTCTTCAGTCTCTCGCGGTTCGAGGGTTTGTAGCTGACCTGCACATATGCAAATCACAGACCATTAATCTCAGAAAGTGTCATTTAAAATTGTGAACTATTATTTCAGTGTTTGGCTGTATTTCAGAAGGAATAGTGTTTGTTGTACCTCTCGCTGCTTTGGGTCTTCTTGGTCCTGTTATTCTGCTCTCTTTCATCCCCTCTTTTGTGTTAGTGGAGTGTTTGAGAAGCAGCCTTGAAAGCCTTTCTTTTCATGCTCTCCAACAGAAAGAAAGTGTCAAGTATCGTTAAGTAAAATTGCACGTTAAACTTGTTTAACTCCAGGTTTGTGGCACATGCAATTTACCTAGAAAGATGTGAAATTTTACATGTCTCTTGTTAATACTCAGATACAGGGTCTTTAGTATTAAGAATGTCTGTACTTCACAGTGCTCATGGATTCCCACTCCATGTTGGCAGAGAGCTTTGTGATTGTCTCTGTAGGTTTTGTTTTAAAGCTTAGCTTGCAGATCTCCTGAAAGTGTTAAAAGTTTGTAATTTTTGTAGCTGACAGTTGTGTTGTTGCTGTCGTAACAAAAGCTTTACTACTTTTTTGTTTTTTATTACTTATTTAATTATCTTTTTTTTATATCATTTGAAAACTGCAGCTATGCTTTGGGTTATTCTATCTTTGTGGTGGCAAATGGTCTCCCACACCTTTAAGGTCTTAAAAATAAGCTTAGATTATGAAGAAACCACAGAAAGTTTTATATTCTTTGTTCTATTCTTCGGTTAACCAACACAGATTTAGATGATTCCTCTTTTTGAAATTTTATTTTAATCATTTTTAGTCGCGTCATGCATGAAAAACAATGTCACAGCAGTGACTTCACAGATGCTGAAGTATTAAGTGAAACAACAATTTTGATGCTTCTCTTTCAGTTTAAATTGTAAAAATGCATTAAAACGTCTGTCCTATGTTAAAATTATTTGAAATATATAGTTTTATTTTAATAAATGATAAATCGTGTACATTTTTATCGGCGGTGTTACAGAAACATAAAACGTCAGCTTAAATTAAAAAAACAAAGTCTTTTTTTGAATTACCTTTTGAATTACGTCTTGTATGGAAAGACTAACGAGTTCACGGTTGGTGATATCTGTTCTGATATTTCTGATAAATTTGCCTAAAATTCTTCCAGCTTTATATGTCGCAAAAAGATCAAGTGATTTTAAAGTTGAAGTAACAACATGAATCCAATATTTTAATGTAATTATAAGTGGACTTTATTGTAGAAAAGCTCATATTTTAGTCTTTTTTTTGTCAGTAGTGTTGCAACTTTACTGATGTTCAGTATAACATTACTAAATTTAGCACAATGACTCATGTATATTATACTACAACATTTTTGTATAGCTGTAGCAGCAGCTTTCAAAAACAGTGCAAGTGTGCTTCCCTGCCACATATTATTTGTCATAAAATTGCCAAATAAAAAGCAAAATAATAAATAATAAATCGTCGTGTATCACTAGTTGGCAGCATTTGTTTTTTGTTCTCTTGTAAAGTTAGTATGTTGAACATTTTGTTTGGAGTTTTGTTTCGACAGCAACATTATTGTTTTTGTAATGTAGATGATGGTGCTTATGTTGTAAAACTTTATAAACCTGGAGTTTATTCACAGAGATATTGATACTCCTCCCTCTCTTTGTTAGCTGTGTGTGTGTGTGTGTGTGTGTGTGTCTAACAACTGGTAATTGGCAGGGTGACCTGTAGCAAGACCTGTGAAGGGAGCCCATGGAGCAGGACAATGGACTTCTGTCCCTGAGGGTCAGACCCCCAAGCATTCGTTTAGACACAGACACACACACACTGATGTCCAGACAACAGATGATTCTCATAGTGTATTACTCAACTGTCATAGCTGACAGCTGATGAATATATCTCTATACATCTCAATTTACATCTGTCTAGCGATGCACCAAAATAAAAATTTTGGGTGAAACCAAAACTGAAATTCAGGACACACTGAGCTGAAAACTTAAACTGACAACCAAAAAGTCAGAAAGTAAGTAAATACACGTTACATGAAATAAACTTGCCAAAATTATTACAGTCTGTAGGCTACATTATGTGCCCTGAACTCTGATGTCCATGACAAAAGCAATTAATTATTAATTATTTTATTCTTTATGTGTTGTACTTTGCACTTAGGCACTGTTATGTTTTTTTTTGTTTTGTTTTGTTTTTTGTTTTTTGTCATTTGAAAAACTGTGGATACAGATGGCACCAGTGTGGTAGCCAGGTCGTTCTTTTCTACTTCTGTTGTTGTGCTGTGTTCTGCATATAAAGCAGGATGTTCTTGAGTGTTGTACCCTCTCCTGATACGTGGCATTAAAAGTGATTAGTGTTGTGATCAAGACCACTAGCACTGACTCAGAGTCAAGATCAAAACCGGGACACATCAAGTGTTAGTCTACATCCATTTTTTTATGAAATGAAAACATAGTAATAATAACATTATGATCTGCCCTCTAAGGATGTTTGAACTTTAGAATTTTGGAACCAATAAACATCAACAAACAAAGAATACTCAGTTAAGCTCGAATTAGATTCTCAACAAACAGATTTTATTTAAACCTATGCAACAGTGGTTTTCAGCCTTTTTTAGTGACAAAATGCATTACAATACACAGATTTAGCCATACACAATTTTAAATATGACAGATATTGTTGAGTATTTGCAAAAAGAAAAC